TAGCAGGCAGGACCCGGATGGGCTGACGCCGACTCAGGACCGACGTAGAAGAGGCCGTTACGCCATGAGAGGATGGAACCACCACCGGCAGCAACGGTGTTGATGTCGAGCTGAGGAGACTGGATAAGGACACCGGCCACCTTGGATCCGAAGACATGCTCGAGGTGACCGTCGAACCGTGACACGTCCGTCGACGTACCACCCATGTCAAATCCGATGACAGGGGTCTTCTCCTCCGGATCCCAGCTCGTCGCAGCAAAGCCAACCACACCAGCAGCAGGGCCAGACAAAATCGCTTTCAGCCCGCTGAACCTGCGAAAGTCGACCAGCCCGCCGTCAGACTGCATAAACTCAAATCGGCATTCATGCTGCTTCTCGAGCCCGCCCTCGAAGCTGGCCGAAATCGAGTCAATGTATGTTTTGATGACAGGCGTCAGATAGGCATCCGCAGCGGCAGACATGCCTCGAGGGACCACCTTAATCATGGGCTGGAGTTTGGATGACAAGGTAACCGAGAAGCCCATGCTCTCGGCTAGCTCCCCGATTATGCGCTCGTGCTCAGGGTAGGCGAAGGAGTGTACGAGAGCAACCGAAAGGGATTGATAACCCTTCTCCTTCAACTGTTGTAATACTGGGCGCACCTCCTCGATGTCCAGTTCTTGTACTACCCGGAACTTTTCACCCGTTGTTCCCTCCACTATGCGAGCATTTTTAAAACAATCTTTGTCGGCGAGGGGGTGGCATGGTACGACACGCTCATTAATTTCCACCACTTGCTCCGGCAAAACTCCGGGTCTAGCCATTGAGAGATCGAAGATATTTGGTCGTGATTGGTCGCCAATTTTCAGCAGGTCACGGAAGCCTTTGGTGGTGAGGAGCACGGACCGCGCTCCCTTACGCTCCAACAGCGCATTTGTAGCGACTGTGGTTCCCATGCGTAAGCTTCCAATGCGATCGAGTTTCAACGGTTGGCCTCGCGGGTGTGACTCGCCCGTGACGAGCTCAAGAATCTGGCGAATTCCCTCCGTCGGAGCATCTTGGTAGTGACCAGGGTCGACGGAGAGCAGTTTGAGGATGATGTCGGGGCGACCTGGGACCACGGCGTGGACGTCAGTGAAGGTACCACCGCGATCGATGGAGATGGTGATCTTGTCTGACCCGGGCATGATGAAGGGGGGGATGAAGAGGGATGGAGAGGAAAGAGGGAGGATGAAGAAAGACAAGAAGGAAGGGGAAAGGGGTATCAATGGCTGTTTTCAACTCCAGCATGGATTGAGGGGCATTCCCCAGGTTAAAATAACTGGGGGATGCGATAAGCCATTCCGCTGTCGTCACCGGACCTCCCACTATGTCCGCAATCGTTCATTGGTCGTGAGTCACGTGTCGGCCCGATGCAACCCCGGATCGGGGCTGCCGGACCGATCAGGCCGAATGCGATAACGGATGCTGATAACATTCCAGATAAGCAGGGGAGTAGAGAGATTATTCTTGTCGGAGATGTATTATAGTGGATATCAGATCAGATAGTCATATTCACAATGCATTCCTGAGTAACATTGGACCCTCTGCTGAAAGGGTCATGTTGCTGCTGTTAAAAATGAAACGTTCTCCATTGAAATAAATGAATACTGAGTACGTTGCGGGGAGTCGTAGAACAACTGCCAGGTAATGATGATACTATATATTTCAACATTGAAAGAGCAAATTCACACACCACACCACGCTAACTCGACTACGAATACAGAAGCTAAGGGACGAGTAACGTCCAAGAAATTCTTCAAGTTCTTCACTGTATATACTAGAGGGTATTTCATTTCTTTAAAGTATTCTCAATCCAGTCAGTATCCATATCAATGTCAATCTGGCCTAGAACCTCCTCCCACAGTCCGGGATCGTCGTTGACATCAAAGTTAAACGAGATCTCCTGCATCGACGGTATTTCTTGCTGTGGGGTCCAAGAAGCCTCCCCCGTCGGGTGATCGACTGCGTTCTGTGACGGCGTTGGCTGCTGTGTGCTATTGGGCGTAACGGGCACTCCCGCAGCGTCTCCTTGCTTGCAGCTCTTCTGACCAATAGAAGATCGTAATTCAAGAAGAAGGGAGTGACGAGCAGCCAGGTTGGTGTTGCCTCGGTCAGCCATGCTGCGAAGCAGATTAATCGATATCTCCATCGCTCGTGCATTAGCAGTGTTGTATGGGAATGCGGCATTGACCATCACAAGCAAAAGGGCGGCGGAAAAGATGTACTCTCCGTCTAGGTAGCCGTACGTAGCTAAACACAGTATTAAAAAAGGAGCCTGAAGATGAGTTTAAGCAAATGGCGAGATAAACATACCGACCAAGTTGTGTTTCGCTGCTGCATCCATTATAAGGGTGGTGGCCCGAGCTGCTGCCACGCAGCTCTCAATCACCGCTACGGTGTTTTGCGATAGCCCTTCTTTCCAGTCCACGGTTGCAGAGCCCCCCTCTTCAGCATCGAGCCGACGTTGAATGACGTAGAAGACCAAAGGCCGTGCGGTCATGTTGACACAGGAATAAAAGTGTAAAAATATCGAGACCGACTCCCGATTGATGTGAGTACTCAGTGTGGAGAAGTCGATACGGAGACGATCAGGTATACGTCGCAGCCAGTCAGAAAGCTCATCCGTAATACTCTGCACAGACGCTAGCAAGTTCGAGCCCGATCGTGGCTTCTTGCGATAAATTTCTTCGTAATATGTCAATGGAGTCTCTGTTTGAGGCAATGATGAGTCGGTCACAAACCTTCGCCTATCCTACCCAAAATCCGAGACAATTGTGTATAGTAGGTGAGAACCACTGATGGCCAAGGGACCACCTCAGTTGCGCTCTAATTAATGTTAGAAGAAACTAGGCGATGGACTTCCTCATTACTTACTGCAGGCTGCGGCCATGTTGTACCAATATCCTCATCGTGGATCGTGATCGGATTACCAGATTTCACAGACAGAAGTCTATTACGGGTTAGTAAGTACTATGGGCGAGAGAGACGTGAGATTAACCGATCCAGACTATACACCGACCACCAAGCCCGCCGCCGACGATTCCGATCTTCTTCACTAACGTCTGGGTCAAGGACCTCTTGATGAAGTCCCAGTGAAATGGCCATGCGAAGAGCAAGACCGATCTATATGCCCTGCATTAGCGGTCGAAGTTATCGTGTGGACGGGGAACTCACATAAAGGAACGCAGCATCTCGACGATTGAGATTCTGCATATAGTACGCAACATAGCAAAGGACCTCCACGAAGAAGATAGAGCCTTCCTCGTGGATGTCGGGTAAGAAGCGTAGTGCATGTTTGAAATACTTGAATCCCGGAGGCCCGTCATCTCCAGACCACTGGTTCACCGAATACATTAGGCCGAAGGCTATGACTAGTAACACCTGGCAGTAGACTAGACACGACTCTCGGCTGAGTGCGTCTGGAGGTTGGCTGTAAACGAGATGGAGTCGCTCTTCGAAATCATGGGGCTGAATCAGGGAAAATATTGTTCCAATGTAGACATACTGTACCCAGTACAGTCGTTTAGCGTACTCGAATGGGGGTAGTTGGGGAAGAACCCGCGGAGCCGAGCGACGTAGAGATAGAGGGTCATCGTACAATGGCCGCATATCCAATGCCAAGTTAGTTGATGAGGGGTTTAGGCGTTTCGCCAAATGAGTGGTGGAAGATGCCCCGACATAATCTGTCCATTGATCAGCTCAGCTACGCAGGCATCGGGACCTCAAGACAAGCTCACGATGTTCTCCTGACCGATTCAAGAAGACGTGACCTGTCTCATTGTACCACCAGTCATCTCGCTCGAGAGGCACCTCCACATTATTATAGGGACTGCTCTGGATGGACGTAGGGGGGTTGGGGAGAGACAGTGGGCGACCTTCATCTGCACGAAGCGATTAATCAGTCAATGTGCCGATGAATGAAGATGGAATGATATTTCAAACCTCGACGGCTGGCCTGTGCCTGGGCGCGAAGTTGACGAAAGTAGCTAAAGAATGTTGGTCACCTATTCAGGCATCTATTCCGTTCCTTCCAGGCTTCCAGGCTCACCTTTCGGGAATCGAGACGCGCTTCTCAGCTTCCGAGTAGACACACTGTTGGCCCACCTCTGCACATGCAGCACATGGATAGGGTGGGTTGCCAGCGCACCGGGTCTTTCTGTTGCGGCATCGGTTACACCTACAAAGGGATATTAGCTGACTAGCCTAGGACCCTAGCATATTGCTGACGCACGCGACCATCGACCGTCTCGCATTGGGCTGGTGCTCTGCAGCTCGCTGCTGCAGCCCACTTCGTCCTTTTCTCTGAGCCATGGCAGACCGCACTGCTATTGATAGATCACAATCACCATGTCGCACACCACTTTATTGCAGGGGATTGGTGAGTCTGAAGCACTCTAGGCTTGCTGTTGCGGATGCTGCCCACGGCTGGAGATGCCGATCAACGTCCACAATACAGCGGAGATGAGGGGACCAGACACGTGGGATGGATCTCACCGGGGTTGGAGAAGGAGTGGCTGGAATACACACCGATCCAGCAACACTGATGGGAGCTCGGACTCCACCCGATAAGTGTTCCTTTGGTGGATTGTAGCCAGCCGTTGGCGCCCAAGCCAAAGGACTGCTCGATTCCCGTGCGATCGGCCTTTCCACGGTCAAGCGTGAGATGGACTTAAGGCGGGCTACTGTGCAGGCAGAACTAAATGCCACCCCTTGACAGGTTGCTATCTTCATCCAATCCTACGACCTCATGAGAAATGTCGATGACTTAGATGTGATCAGACGACTTATCTGCCGTTACATTGCGAGACCCCACATTGTGTTGTGTTGCAGCCAAACAATGCTGGAAGCAGAGTGGCCGCACCTCGGCCCGACCGACAACGGACCCCCCTGAGGGGCACCAATTCTTATCACGTAATGACCTGGTGCCATTATTCACACCCAGGCACTGCCGGTTTAAAGTTCAGGCCTGAACCCACTCGCGTGCGGGTGCCTGGGGACCTTTTAGACGTGTCGCGTATCTTGGAGCCCATGACTTCACTGCCGGCCTGCTCCGATTCATTTTCTCGACTCGGGATATCGCGGCTGTGAGAAATGGGAGACGATGATGTGTTTATCCCGCCAGAGTGTCATCATCATTCGATATAACCAAAACCATTCCAATCACTGTGCCGGACAATGAACCAGCATTCCAGCTTCCGCCATGGGGGTAGGCGCCGTTGCAGTTCTACTGCTCGCCGTGCTGACAGTCTTGCGCGCCCTCCGCAATTATAGTCGTCTACGTGCTATCCCTGGTCCTTCAGTCGCTGGATGGTCGGACTTTTGGCGCATATGTGTTCGCAATAAATCTCACTATGGTCGGCGTCTGTCGAGTCTTCACCGGATATATGGCACGGTTGTGCGGTTGGGACCGCGCTTCCTCAGTGTCGCAGACGGAACGATTATAGGTCATCTAGATCATGGGGTCGATGGCGGGGTACGTGCTCAGCTGGTATTCGAGTGATAGTTGCTAATCCTCGCAGTCACCAGAACTCCAACATAGAAATACAATGCCCTTGAATAGCGTCACCATCAGCTCGGACACTCTTCAGACAACACATCCTACCTGGGAACGCTCTCAGGGGATACCCGAGTACGAAGGAGTAATCGATCCGTCCACGAAACAACTCATCAAAGCGATACGAAGATACCGTGTGTTGGATATAACCTCGTCACTGCGCATATTTGCCACGACGTTTATAAACCAGCTTACTGCTGATGGTTTACTACAAGAAAGACATAACAATTCGAGGGGAAGCGGAAGCAGATGGCTGAGTGTATTCTCGACAGTTGAATACATGCTCATCCGAAGCCCGGTGACGGCACTGAAGAGAGATCGCGGACGTCGGCTAGCAACCTGTGCGACATTACCAGTCGCCGCGCCTACTGTTTCTGTCGGAGAGAATGGTGCAGGTAGCTCAACTGGCACTTTACCTAGCCAACCACGGCCGTGCGATGGAAGCCGGACGAGGCCATCTCCTAATGCTGTGCGTGGAGCCCATGGTGCTGCGGCTACATTCGTATCGTTATTCTACTTTCTATTGAGGCACCAGGACTTTCTTGATAGACTTCGGTTCGAGATAGACACTTCGTTTGGCATTGGATCGCTGTCAGACATACCTCGGTGGAGAGAGCTGAACAGATTATCCTATCTTGATGCCGTGCTGAAAGAGACGATGCGGCTGTCAGTGGATTTTGAAGAGGAGATCAAAGCAGCAGTAGATGGTGTCACAGTGGCAGGGTTTTCGGTTCGCAAAAATACGATCCTAACATGGAACTCCCATGTTCTGCACTTCGACAGCGAGACATTTGGGAATGATGTCCATTCATTTCGACCTGAGCGGTGGCTTATGGCAGATGCACAACAGCGAAGCCGGATGGAGCAGGGATTGATCTCCTTCAACCGCTGCGTGCGCGACCATCCCGAAGCCCAGGTGGTTTGGATGGAATTGAAGAAAGTTGTTGTATTGATTCTTATGAAGTTTAATGTGAGTTGCACGAGGGAAATACTGCCAGCTCATCACTGACTGGAATTGGTAATAGACGCAGCTTCTTCATGCCGCAGAGCCTAGCATTGACGCCGAAGACATTTTTACTCCGCCTTCTCTTATCGTTGGATTTACCCCGAGAGTTCCTGGATTTTGAGAGTACCAGCTTATCCGACGCACCTCTCTTTCGTTCTTCTTTTTCTTTCTAGGGCATTGATGCCGTTTTGCTATCTTTGCATTTCTACTTGCTTAGTTAAGATACCCAGATAAAGCAATTGCCATACGATTCTTGCCTGCAATCACAGCCTTACTGCCTATCCTAGAGCGACTTCCCACCAAATTATCATATAACAAATTACTGCAAAGAGATACCCCATGCTAAGCTTTCTATACGACCACCACCCTCTACAAGCAATGCCAAGATCCGGAACGGCGCGTACAATCGCGTCAACCAGCGGCCGCTGACAGCACTCGTCTACCACCTACATGGGCATCAACATACCCAGCAACCCAGCAGAAGACCAAGATTATCCCAATGAACTCCATAATTCACTACTATACTACCAATCTCAAAAGATCCCCATACTACAACCACCCCCTCACCTTCCACCCCACAACACCCCAAATCAACCCACTACTCGTTCTCATCGACCCCAATCTCCGTCGTCTTGAACTTTCTCGCAGAAATCTTTCTCTTGAACAAAATATCCGCCTCACGATACGACCGATGCTTCAATTCAGGCAATCCAAAGTACGCTCCAACCCACACCACCAGCGCCGTGCATCCCCAGACATACCCGCACTTGCCGGCCAAGTTCCACCCTGTGGTATTCAGCATCCGGGACGACAGATAAATCATCGGGATTTCAGTAATGTAGTACGCGGACCGTCCAACAGCTGTGCTTAGCGCGCGGAGCCGCACCGATGATGTCTCGGAGATGATAGTGTACGAGATGGGGCCTTGTGCGCCGGCGAAGACCACGGAAATGATCACACCGAGACAGGCTTGCGCGTAATTCGTCTTGTGGTTCTGTGGTACGGAGGCGATGATTCCGAGGATGAACAGGAAGACGATGTTTGTGGCGGTACCGTAGAGGAAGACAGTGCGGCGGCGGAACCATGAGGTGAGGACCCAGGAAACGGCGTTGGCGACGAATTGAAGACAGGTTGTGATGAGGTTCAGTTGGAAGGCTTTGTCGGCGGAGATGCCGGCCTCTGTATACAAATTAATTTTTAGAGAGACTTCGACGATAGGGACAGCTGGGATGTCGGTTGGGAACTCACGCTCGAAAAAGTATGTAGCCTGGTTCGCGATCAAGTTACCCGCGAAATTCTGCGACGCGTAGATGAGACAGGTAATGATTGTTCGTCTGCGATCGGTACCCTTCCAGAGATCGAGTAGCGTGGGGTTACCACCTGTTTCCTCTTCGATCTTGACTGTACGTTCGATCATGGCGAGGGATTGGTGGGCTTGTGCTTCGGTTTTGGCGCCGAGGCGTTTGATGGATTTCAGGGCTTCTTCTTTGCGGCCGCGGCGAATGAGCCACCAGGGGGATTCGGGGGCGAAGAAGAGGAGGACCATGAGGGGAGTCTAGAGGGGACATTGCTCATTAGTGGTCGTTGAGTAACGGGCATTGGAGGAAGAGGGTGTACCGGGAAGATCCACTGCAGGGCAAGTGGTGCGCGCCATTCCCATTGCGTCTCGAGAGAGTTGTAGCCATATGTAGCACCCGCGACGATGATGGAACCAATGGACCAACTCATTTGCAAGGTTGCGGTGACTGCAGCGCGGAGGGGAAGGGGAACGACTTCACTGGCGTAGGCTGGGGAGTTGGCGATGAAGAAACCCCATGGGACACCTTCTAGGGCTTGGCCGACCACGAGCAGAGTGAGGGAGTTCGCCTATGCAGGAAGGTATTAGGTGAGGTGGAACTGACACGGGTGTACGCAGGCCACTTACGAAGAATGAGATGAAAATCGTCGCGTTCATGAGAACCAGACCCAGCATAGTCGTCCAGCGGTATCCGATCTTGTTGGTGATCGGTCCCGCCAGATATACACCCACGAAGGCACCGCATTGACCAGACTGGAACAGAGCACTCTGCCATTTAGTCGGGATCGCATAGACACCCGGTGAGGTTTCGACGCCGAAGACCTTGGAGAAGTGATCAAGTGCGACGAAATTGGTGTTGAGGAACATGTCGAACGATTCCATGACCTGGGAGTCATAAGTATTTCAGCATCGCCATTAGTCTGGGTGGATGTGGAAGAGACTCACGATAGTGAAACACATGATGAACGCCCAGAAGCAAGCCCAAGGGTACTGCTTAGCAGCCTCCCAGACACCCATTTGATGCTCGTAATTCTCACCATCAAAGGCTTCATGCATAAGATCGGGGTTGTCCAGAACCTCAGACTGGTGGATGTCCACCTTCTCGCTCTGAGGCTTCTCATCCCGCTGTTCGGCGACGCTTTCTGCCGCCATCTTGTCGGATTTCAGGCTTTACCACCGTGTCACTTTGAGGGAGAGCTACGGGGAATAGAAAGTCTCACGGGGGGGAAAGAGGGAAAAGCGTCGGCCAAAAGGGCGGGATCCAGGTCTTAAATTGACTTGACTATCCTACCCATGTAACTGTGTGACCTGGGAGTGCCGCCCGGCGTTTTCCCCCTTTCCACCACAGCAGGAATAAGCAGCAAGGAGCAAGTGAAATGCAGGCCTTGAAAATACGAGCTAAATGAACTCAAATTGAGACAAGTCTAGGTCACTAACGTGGTTGAACATGTGGTTGCTTTCTCCACAAAATTACCCCATTGGCCCGGGCAGAAAGGGCTACTAGCTGGAAACCACCAACATTATCCAGCGATGACCAGCTTTGCGGGGGAAATGCCAATTGGGGATGCGGGGCCCCAGATGACTCCTGAGATCCCGCATGGACCTCGATTCTGTAAACCTCGGCTGGTGGTTGGCGGAATATCTCACGCCACAGCGCGTTGGGATTGGTTGTGAAGGACTTAGCTAGGGGGCCAGGTTACAAGCCTTTGGTGTTACTGAATCCTTGCAATAGGAGGCCATTCTCGATTCTAGCTAGTTCCGGGCAAGATATTAACCACGCGACACGTGTGTGGTAGCATCAATCCAGTTGTTTTGTGTTAAACAGTGACACGAAGGGATTAAGACTTCACGTTTTGTCGAGCGGTTGCAAAACTGAATGATCTGTAGGTAATGTTCTGAATGCTAAGAATATACCAAGCCCTGCCAAGTAGTCATTAAGCCCCTGCCGTTTTCTAGGCTTTTCTGCCGACCCCTCGGCTACGTGCAGAGAAAAGCATTTTCAGTCCCAGTAATGATTCACGTTTTGGATCACTACTCAATCAAGCCACTTGTGATACATTAACCAAGCTTTGATTTACGCGTGACATGGTGGTTGCCACTAGCTACATTCAGATGGTCACATTTCCTGGTTGCAGTAGTAGTAGCTGATTTCCCGTGGAAAAGCAAGCCGCGGCTGGCTGGATTGGATACAGCGCCACCGCTTGTTTTTGTTAATCCTGGGCCTCGTACATGGCATCCCACTCACCAGCAAGTCATTACCTATATGTTATTTAATGTTTTGGTCGTTACACAAGAAGACATAGGTAATGTGTCGTAACCTCGCTCCCATTCTCTGCCTGCCTCAAGGCGCATACATTAGACCATGAAGCTCTAGTTAATCAGCAGTCCCCGATCACTGTATCTAACCGAGGGATGTACAGACCCGGCTAGACGGGTTTCATTGGGCAAGGATGAAGCCTTTACAGACTAGTGGATGATATAGGATCCCGCCACCTGCGGGCTAGCGCAGACGCAACACAGACCTCAGAAGTCACCACCAACCATAAATTACTATCAGGCAACCCATATCATGCTCATGTGAATTTAACCGAAGCTCTTAACAGCCCGACGCTGGGGCCGCACCTCTGACAGCTCAACGGTAGCTTGCCCGAACTCCACGTGCGCGGGCTTGAGGCTTTATGAAGCTTTCAAGCTACTGTACAACCTCCTTTCTCAATATTACGCCACCGTGCTATGGATGCACGGCGTTTTCATCCGCGTAGCGTAGAGGAGAGATGCGTCGATGCCTTAGTATGAGGTTCTTCGTTTCTTAGTTAGTCCTGTCGCTATTCGCACACTGCGAAAAATAATCACAACACTATCCACTTCCCCAAATGATACAAGTTATCATGATCCTTGGTAGATAGTGCATCTCTTCCAAGCAATTTCCCGGGACTTTTAATTCCCTTCGGCTAATATCTGATGTGAAATAACCAAAGTTGTCACACCTCTTGGTTAATAAGAAGTCTTCGTCTCAATATGGTCTGATCTGACCCGAAACATGTTTCCCATACTTTTACGAGCGCTAACGATAAGGTTGGCCTTGTTGATGCTGTGCTTTCAGTCCGATAGGGTTAGACTGATTGATGAGCTCACGTGGCCTGTTCTCGTTCATCATGGTGGAGGATATGTAAAGCCCTGCAAGGAAACGAATAGCGGACAGGACAGATGACGGTAGATCCCCCTTTTGACACTGCATGCGATCGGCTTATTTTTATTTGTTATCAGGAATTATGATTAACCATACGCCGTAGTTGATACAGTATGCAGTTGTTGTCATCAGCAAAGTGGCATTTCGTTACAGTTCAACCGGATAGGGCAGAATCCGAGTCCAGTCGATGAATGAGGACATTTATGCCTCGGGCACTATGCATGACATTGAATCCCCGCAAGGGATGAGCAGGCTTGCATCCCTCATCAACTGGATAGACAAGGCAGCATACAACTCACAATCAACCCTCATCTTCCACTCGCAAATTTCACATAGCCCTCATGTCTAAAGAGATTGAATTGAACCCACCCGAGGTTGAATTCCTCGAAAAGCTAAAGGAGAGTAAGTACTCCGTGGTATTCAAAGTCCGTTTCAGGGAACGAATATGTGTCATGAAGGTGGTAAGTAATTATTCCCATCCCGTCACTGCCTTCTCACTTATGATCAAAGTATCATGATAGGGGTCCGTCCGAGTGGGATCCCCCTTACCGGGAAGTCAATCTCTTCATCTCCGAGTCTACCGCCTACCATCGACTAGAATCGAGGGGCTTATGCCAGAGGGGGGTTATCCCAGACTTCTATGGAACAATTAGAAAGATTCAACCGGCTGATTGGCCAAATCTTGAGATGTTCCTAAACGACAAATTACCGCCCAATGCTGTCCTTATCGAGTATATTCCAAACCTGCAGCAAATCGACCTATCCAACTACTCACCGAAACGCCTGACTAAATTCCGTGAGATCCTCGACGATATTCACGCGGCTGGAGTTCTCCATGCTGATCCGAAGCCTCGCAATATGATGGTGTCCTTATCGGAGGACGACAGGGTACTCTGGATAGACTTTGATTCTGCCCAGACATTTCCAGAGAGTGGTGATATGTCTCCAAGACAACGAAAATGGATTGAAGGAGAGGATGAGATGGTGGATTATTTTGTTGATGCCTTGGTAAGATTTCGTCTTTGTGCTACTGCTTTGGCTGACTGTTGAACAGGCGAAAGATTTCGAAGAAGGAAAGCTGAATCGCACGATTTCGTACTATTATGAATGGTACGTGTAGATAGAAAAACAAGGCTGAATCATACTATGTAGTTCGTACTCGATATAAGAGCTTGGTGCTTTGAATAGTTTTTTTTATTCATACTCCAGGAGTAGTAGCATTGATTCTTTGGTTCTTAGCACTATATCAGTGTTTTTCTCAGAGACCCAAGCATCAGGTATGTAATGAGGAGACGGTGCGATAAGGTGATGGCAACCATTCAATACTAGAGTCTGGCTTTACGATATGCTTCTAGAACTGCAGCACAGATGAGCTTCCCCCGAATGGAAAACCGTGTCGGAGGGATACGGAAAAGGTGTTGCTTACGAGTATCACGTGCGGCACATATCGGGCTATACCGGATGTATCAAAGCGCATGCGACAAACTGCAACAAAGCCTCGCGCCTCCTCGCAATCAACAAATCGTAAAACCGTGTCATTTATTTGTCATAACTTCATACATACATTCTTTTCTTTATATAGTTGATAGTATACCTATCATATATCAAGGAAATTTGACCAAGTGTCCAGCCTGGCCAACGCTATGGGTATCACCGGAAAAGGTATTTTTAGTAGTCGTGTGGTGGGCATTTCTCATGCAGCCCAGGCATCTTTCAACACCTTCTGTCCCCGAGCAAGAGTCTTCGCAGGGACTTCACCTAGCCATTGTGGCTCGAGACGATCGAGGTTCGCCTCGATTTCCCAGGCGCGGCCACCCTCGACGTACATAGAGGTGCCGTTCAGTGAGTCGTCCACGAGGACACCAGCAGCCACCTGAGCGACCTGGAGGGGAGAGCTGATGGGGAGGCCCTCCTCTTCCCATCGGTCGCACAGTTTCTTCGTTACAGCAGGATGAGTCTGGGTCATCCAGGGGCAGATGGTGTTAATGCGAATGTTGTGCTTGTAAGGGTGGATAAAATAGGGACGCAGCGAGCGCATCAGGCCTTGCACACCGTGCTTGGCTGCCTGGTAAACAGACACTCCCGGGGTCTCCTTGAACCCTGCGGCGCAAGAGAAAAGAGTGATGGAGCGATCCACACCCGGGCCACGGTTGTGGCGGAGGTAGGCGCCAGCGAGACGAACGACGTAGAGCGTTCCAGTGAGGTTGACGTCGAGGTCTCTGGTGGATGGGGGCTTATCATGGTTAGCGAAATCACTCAGTAGGTAGGTGCTGTGGGTAGCTTACCTCGCGCACAGCCTGAAGGCTTAGAGCATTGTCAAACCAATTCTCTTTTGGTTCCATACTGCCAGCAGTAACGACGACATGGTCGATGCGCTTGTAGGTCTTGAACGTAAAGTCAAAGAGATCCAGCACAGATTGGTAGTTCGTGATATCGGTCTCTTGGAAGGAGGAGCGCGGAGGTTTCGGGGGACCAGAGGGGTCCCAGTAGACAGGCCATTTCTCGCGACACTTCCGGCTCAAGGGTGCACCGGCAGTAGAATCAATGTCGCCAATGCATACGTAGGCGTTGTTTTCACAGCAAAGCTCGACAAGACTAGCGCCGATACCATTGGCACCTCCTGTTCCAAACGTGGGTTAGCATTGATAATGGATGAGTGATGGAAGACACAATGGGAAATACGTACCCACAATGAGAATGACCTTTTCTTCCAAAGCCTCCCGAGTGATTTCAGGGTGGAACTGGGTGATGGGGGTGGCCGAATTGGAGGAGAGGACGGGCTCAGTAGGAGCAATCATTGTGATAGGTCCGATAAGAAGAGGAGATGATTGATACGAAGTAAATTAGAGAAGGAAGGATAGAAGCACGACTCGAGGCCAACAGCTGGGGTTTCAAGAGGCTTTTATGCGGAACGACGGACGGGTTGACTCTTTGGAGGCCCGTAGTTAGCACGCTTCTCAAAGCCTACTAGTAGCTGGCAACGAGAACATGTGGTCATAAGCCAATAAAGATGCAGGAAGAAGAGCTGCTCAGCTTTTGGGACTTCTGGTCTGGTGGGGGCTGTATCGGGAAAGTGTAACTGTCGATGAGAGAGCGGGATGAGATAGGCGGCGCAGCTGCACCAGACTCGGATATCGTTGGACGATGCTGAGGGGGACTCCACCAAAAGTGCCATTCTCCGCCTGCCAGACGTCTTATCCACAGTGGAACGATTGATCGGCGATTGCGGGGGGAGGATGAGAGGATCCGGGGAACATCTGGAAAAGTGGGTTTCTTGCTCAAAATGGGGACATGTCGAAGAGAAAGATGGCAGAAGGAATCGCAGTTGCCGATGGATAGGGAAAGCGAGAGGAAGAAGTCGAACAAAAGAGAGAAGGTTAGACGATTCGGAGTGCCTGGCAAAAGTCCCGCTCGCTCTCCGTGGATCTTGACTTTCCCCTCTCGGATGACCCCAATCCTATCCCCGTCTCCTCCCACCCATTGCTTCCCTTCGTCTGGTCATCCAAGCCGCTCCGATGCTTGGTGCAGTGAATCCTTACCGTTTTCTAGTCACTACCAGGGGCACTGCCGCTTCAGGAATAATTCAATTACCAATTATTGCAGTATCTACCCCCCTCTTCCTCGCCATGGAACATGAAAAAAATCACTCACCCCCCTTAGCAACAGTTGAGGAATCATGGATCAATATCCCCCTGGCCCTACTCATCCATCCTTGGTTGGCCTCCTGCAGTCGGTTGGCATCCCGTCAGTCACCCTGCGCAAGCCCGAGCTAGTCAACAGTAATACAGATGGCTCAACTCCATCCCGAGCCGATAGAGGACAGCCAGCCACGGAGCGGCCAGTGCAACCTTGCAATGTAGCCTCGACAGCGTTGGCGTCGGGGCAATGCAGGGATGTATTTCTCGCCATCAATTGAAAATGATCCTTAATCCGTTACGGTTACCGGGAGAATTGGCGGCCATTGAAGATGGCTGACTTGATTGGCTAAGGCCGTATTTAGCAGGATGCCGAGACGTCATCCCAGCGACGGGTGCAATGCATTCCATCCGAGGCTGATAGGCGCTGTGAGGGCCTATCACAGTAACAGGCAGGTATTGCGCGACACCACTACCAGTGCTGCCACTCGGAAATGGCCCTTCATTAGCCTTTCATGTCATGGCCCATCCTGCTGTGGCCTGTGCGCAATTGAGTTCCGTCTCACTTTGCCTTTCGAAACATGCAGCCCGTTTCGTAGGAGCTTACTCTCTACCGCTGGATCCCCATTGTCTGCGCAATCAGATGCAGCTCGTAGAATTCGTCAACACCCCAATACACATGTAAGTTTAGGAGGCATGAATAGTGATGAAATAGGCTTGCCGAAGGAACTGTGATAGGGTGAATTGGGGGTCCGATGCCCGGACAACGCTAGGGGTGATTACGGAAGAAGCAGCATCCGAGACGTAGTCGGTGTTTGCTAAGACCTTCATTTCAGCCAGCAGCAGCTAATCCCAGACCGTCATCCTGCCGGATGGACTTTGCCTATCTTGTTCCATCTTGCAGCATCTGCGGACTACCGTACTCCGTCGGGGCTGTTGCTCCATGCTCACTTGAGTGAAGAGGCAGCTGAAGGTTGGCAATGATCGGAGAGGAGAATGAGGAGATTGATAGGGACGACGCAGTAGTGTGGGAGTGGATCGGCCGAGGATTCCGATGGAATCGCATCGATACTTCGCCGCCTGTACTTTTATTGTGGTTCCCCACTCGCTCCACTAGGCAATTGCAAGTACACAGCCTGTCAAGCCGACAACAGCATGGTGCTCAGTGCCCACAAAGACAATCTGGATGAAGATCGATCGGCTTAAGCATTAAACATTTGCCACCTCCAGATCTGTCCAAGTTGATCCTGTTTATCGTCGGTTATGATAGCCGAAAGTGGGTTACGGGGTAAGTTGGTACTAGACGGTTATTATAGAGGAGATAATGTCTGTTGTTCGAATCTCTCAGAGTGGACAAGTGACCAGTTTCGGAACCGCTGGGACGATTTGTCCTCGGTCATTGATCGGCTCACTTTTGGGCTATGGAGCATAAGTAGTCCGACAGAGACTAAATGACGAGCCTATCACCTCCCATCCAAAGCGTGGCCACATCAACCTAAACCTTTGACTGTCATATGCCAGCGAGACGGATGTTGCGGAGATATGTTATGGTACTATGGACTTTGTACCTAGAAGCACTGGCTGTGTCGCACGGTCTAGCGACCGGCAGACAGGCCCTTCCAACTGTTCATTATTTTGGATGGTTTATGGGCCACAAGTGAGGCTAAGCGTGGCTTGTCCTTGCATTCCATTTTCATGCCTCAGGCACTGATCATGGCTTGATAAACGTAGCCGTCACATGATCGCTGGGTTCCATCAGCGATGCATTACTTACCGCCTTGGAAGTGTCCAAGAGGTCTTCTTTCTGGCGAACCTTCATCAAACAAGAACGCATCAATTATCAAGGATGAAGCCTGGACCCTGTTGCTTATAAAGATATGACCCATGGTAGAGACTTGCCAAAAGCGGGCAGCCGATGGGGTTACATGATGGCATGGTCTACGTCACCACCCGAGCATCCAGACCCTGCCGGTTTATAAATTGATTACCATGTGCAACCCTGGATGACATATGCCGAATTCGATGGCAACTGCTGTTAAAATGAACGGCGTGTCAAGGTGCTTGGGGAAACAATTCACACAATACGCAAAAGCACCCGTCTTCAGGAAGTGCAACACGATCCCATTCCGTCTTTCCGGCATTTCTGTTCGAAGTTACTCAGACCGAAGCCCAAAATACAACGGCAACATGACTAGTCAACCTCCCAAGAATGAGATGGTGTATATGCCGGGAGTGATGTCACCCAACCGATCGTTCGGTGTCTTCCGCAAGGTCCTCCACACTGGCCTATACTCTCAATTCGTGGCCATGGAAGTGCCCGTCAATGGCGAGATTGGCGACGAGGTTAGTCCATCTCTTAACGATCAATGCGAACAGATAGCTAAGTTAAGATCACCAGATCCACACCGTTGACCAAGTCCTCATCTTCACTCACGGAACCGGCAAGGCAATCGTTGCCGGAAAGGAACAAGAAGTTCGGCAGAACGATGTCGTTATCGTCCCAGCCGGCACTCAACACCAGTTCTTGAATATCGGAAACACGCCGCTCGAAGTGGTTACCATTTATTCTCCGGCAGAGCATGACCCGCGAACGGTACATCAGACCAAGGCAGAGGGCGATGCACAGGAAGAGGCTGGCGAGGATGAAGCACCAGAGTGGAGTCAACGAAGCAAGTCTGAGAATGAGAAGATTGGGCTGGTCAAGGCCCCATAATCGGCATCATGTATGATGAAATTATAAACTGAATATAATCATGACTTTATGCTCTGTCATTATGAACATTTCGCTCGCGCATGACAAATACGGCAATTGCCTTGATTCGATACTGTCATGCGTCGGATAACTTAATATATCATGATAAATTTATTAAGCAACTCAATTCCAAACAACAAGCACAATTAGACAATAGGGGTTAGTGATGCCTATCGAACCCTGATGCTACTGACCTCGGAGTCTGCATCGGTTGTTACCTCATTTAATAAACTGAAAATACTTGTCACATAATACTGTAAGTATTCTCCGTCCTGTGGCTTGCTTAGTCTTAACTCCTGACTTAATAGACGAACTTCCATCTTTGAGGACTCCGAAACTACTTGGAAGATACCTTCTTAGATACTGAAATGCGCTCGCCGGACACTTGCAAGGGGACTAAATATTTCAATAGGTATGCTATAGGCAATATGTATACTTGAGTTCTCTTGGGTTGAATACTAGTTTCAATAAACAAATACGGAGTTGGCCTTTGATCAAAGGAATCAACAAAAGCTCAACCCCCTGGTCCCATTGAAATACGAGATGTTGACACCATGTGCTTTGTCTTTGTTCTTATACGTTGACATGGCGATTTTCAAAATACCTCTGGCAACGACAGTAGGCTGGCTTGATAGGATTTGAGCATAGTCAAACACCAGTAATGGACAGAGTATATAGTACGTGGATGATATCCATCAGTGAAGAGAAATTCTCCGGAATGTTACAATATGTGCAGGAAAAATCCCAGACATTTCGCTATCTTTCTCGCGGATAAACACCAGGCCTCTGGAAAGATGGCTGATTCGGTAACTTTAGTTATTGCATCCTATTTCCGACCCATTTTTCCAATTAATCTTTTTTTTCTTGATTACATGTTATAAAAGTGGTCTGGGTTTGGAGTTCCCCTCCTGCCCCTCGTGTCACACTTGCTGCTATTGGATTCTACATCTGAGCAAGCCCTGGTATTAAGTCGACGATAGGAGCTGCTCCGTTGACATCAATAATATTGCACCAACACACATCCTGCCAACAGTCTTCGTGGCCATTCACAACAGAACAGCTTCTCTCAACGAACGTGAATCAAAGCTCCACATAATACGGACCTGTGCTCACAATGGACGAGCAGGGAAGTTTTGAGCAGTGGTATTTGGGGTTAGAAGCAACAATACGGTATGTCATCCAAGTTCTGAGGCTAGTTACAGATTAGAACAGCAAGTTTATACTATGAACAGAAAACTAGAGGAAGAGAAAAGACAACTGGAGGAGGAAAGGAGGTATTTCGCCGAAAAAGGGCAGCCCGAGGAGGAAAGGCAATTGGAAGACGAAATTAGGAAACGCGAGAAGGAACTCGCGCAACAGGGGAACCTTAGGAAACTTAAGGAAGAGGTCAGGTATCTTCAAGAACAGTACAGGCAGCATGAGGAGGAGATGAGGCAGCATGAGAAGGAGATGAGGCAGCATGAGGAGGAGACGAAGCAGCCGGGGGAGAAGCTCGGATGGCTTGTTCAAAAGACAACATTCTTGGAATATATCCAGCACTTGCACGAAGCTCTTCCAGATCCGCTGAACCTTGAACCCCGTGCAGACACACACAGAGATATACTCATACCGAAAGCAAGGGTCTGTCCAGAGCGGCTTGAGCACTGGTCTCAATGTGACAATGAGCAGGAGCAGATTTACCGGCATATCTGTGAATTCTTTGAGCCAACTGATGGCCCGCCAAAGCGAATTTTCACTCCATTCATGTCATTCGAGAGAATGGAGAAAGAATGAAAAGAATATCAATAAGCTTCAAGGAGGATCTTGAGATCTATTTACAAGATTCTGTGCAAATGCAGATCGAGCATATCATTGAGGAGATCTGCGCCATTCCTGCTGCCCGTGCCGCCTTTCATCTTGGGGGCGATCGTATGAGATACGTCGCTTCCCATGGGGAACTGCGTTCGCGTGCACCAACGTGGATCGAGGACAGTGAGCGATGGCCTCCTGGACCCGAATCATTTTGTATTCATGATATGGAAGATGGCAGAAGAGGAATTGATGCACGCTTAAGGGGCGAGTTCATACTCCCTAACAAGCTGACTATGGAAACGCTCCGTGCAGGATTGTGGTCGATGGACTCCTATGCTGAAGTCTTACACAACGGAGTGGTCCCATTGACAGAAGCGGAAAGGATCACACGCAATGCAACGCGCCTGGCAGGCTCAGCTCTGGTCCAGCTTTACAACGAAATGATAAGCTATGGGTTTGAATACGGGTATATAACCACAGGAGAAGCATTGGTCCTGCTCAAAGTCCCCTACGACAATCCCTCAACCATTCTCTATCGCGTCTGCGAGCCGAGTATCGAAGCAACTCCAGGGAATCGTGATGGGTTCTTGCGGCCTGTGACAGCCATCGCGCGAATACTATGTCTATGCTTGATGAGCTGCGCCTCGCAGATCCGGAGTCCTGATTGGTGTATCAAAACAAAAGCAAGTCTACCTACTTGGTTGACCGGGTTTGATTATGAATACTTCATTCAGACTCAGAAGTTCATGCCATCGGATGACTATTCAGGCACGACGACTCTTTCACCGCACTCCATTTGCGGTCAGGGAACTGCAAGAGAATTACCAATTCGACCCCGTTCTCAGACGAGCTCCGTGGAAGGTACACAGCAACCTTCCCGAGAGGAAGTACAGGATGGTGAACCGTATTACGCATCAGGGCACAAACGTCGCCTTATCAAGTCCGGATCTTCGGCGTCGCCTGCGCCGGAGCAACAATCGAAACGGTCGAAACGCCCAGAGCCTTCATGCAGCACCAACCCCCAGCAAGATAGACCGTTCTGCACTCAAAAATGCCTGCTTGGCTTGAAGGAGAGCAGAAAGCTGGACGAAAATTGCCCGAACCTGGAACTTCACCAACAGAGCGGAAGTGTCCACCACCCGATCACAGCACAAGGCCTGATCAGACTTATCAAGCAGGAAGTCGATGAATGTCTCGATTGCATTAAACCAATGGGCCGCTGTGGATTATCCGGTACACCATTGAAGGTCACTTGCGCTAAATACGGGTACACCGTTGTCGGGAAAGGGACCACCTGTTTCATGTGGCCGCAGCTAGAACTCGAAGCAGATGCGTATCAGATCTTAGATACCATACAGGGCTACGATGTCCCCGTATTTCTCGGAAAAGTCAATATGCAGCAGACGTTTCACTTACATGGTGTGGGGAAAATTCGGCATATGCTGATGATGGGCTGGGGTGGAGAGCCTATTAACAAGGCTGCATACGAGCAAGGGGCCTACAAGAAATACTTGAAGAAGGCTTTAACCCCAGTTCGGGATCTCGGGGTTCTGCATGGAGACCTTTCGGCGGGGCATCTTCTCTGGAATGAGGAGCTGAATCGGCTTATGCTCATTGACTTTAATCGTTGCAGGCTGAGTCTGCCGAACCCCGTGGAGTGGAAGCCGAAGTGGTTGACGGAGTGGGATTCTCTTGCAAAGGAGGAGGAGAAGGACTATCATCGTCAGCATTGTTCGTTTCATAGGACATGCATACATCCGTTGACTAGGAGTTGTCCGAACGAGAAGTTTGATGTGTGCTGATGCTGCCTCGCTGCTTTCTGGCTATTTTTATGTATATTAGTATGACATATATGCCGGTTGGTTGGATATTCAAAATATATTAGATCAGTATAATGCTTCTCTTGGTTACAACCATCCTCGAGCTAGTGAACGACCAATTCCTCTTGTTCCCGTATGTTTGGCTCTATGAAGATAAACTATTATCACTTCCGGATAAATTGGAGCCACTACCAATCCAAAGAACGCTATCTATATTTCTACTAGTCCTATCCACCCGCTAGTAGGCTGACCATGTTTCAGCCTTCGCGCTGAAGCGCAGATAAGATCAAGCCTTACTTATTTTCGGTAAGTGCATAGATAGTAATAGCTACCGGAGACTGAACAAACGTGTTGTATTAGATATTTTAGCATATTCATTCAACCTCATCCGTTAACTTATATGCTTTAGCTTCTTGACCCGAGACCTTCCTGTCTTCATACATATATATGCCAAGTTATGTTAAATACAGAAACAGACAAATAGAACGTAAAAAAAAAAAAAAAAAAAAAAAAAAAAAAAAAAAAAAAAAAAAAAAAAAAAAAAAAAAAAAAAAAAAAAAAAAGAGAAAGAAAGAAAGAGGAAAAGAAGTAAACGAACACAGATTAAAAGGAACAAATTAAAGATTTAAATATTCTTTTAAATGTATATAAGATAAAATCAAAAGAACTACTACACTTCCAAAAATTCTCACCACCGTCTCCAAGTCATGTGCCGTGCCTCAACATCAGCCCTCATCACCTGCCCTCTCCTTTGTAAGCAACCTCGGAATTTAGCGAGTACCTAATCCCATCCTAACTTAGCGTACACCATAACGTAGTCGCGTCAACAATCCCCCGAAAGCAACCTAACCCTCTCTCTGTCCCCGGCTTTTCTCCGGACGATTCAGACCCGCGGGGGGCCACGAAAACTGATTGGCCCGAGCAAGAAAGAAATGGAGCCCTCCGCATTCGGCTCGACCCGCCCATGCGGAGGAGCGAGCCAATGGACACTACAAACCACAGACTAGGGGATATTAGGGGTCTGGGCACGAAGATGTGGTTGGTAGCAATCAGACCTGATGACGAGGCCATGGCTCGGGATTACTTGTTTCTGCTTACTGCTTTCTGGATGGGAGGGGAAGAATATAGCCTAAGTGGGTTGGTATATTAAGTACTATACTGCATTATTTCCTCCGAATTACGGCTAAAGGGGGTTGAGTAGCCAATAGTAGAGTGTTTGCTCATTCATGGCTTCCAGCCGTTCCGGATAGCCGGGAATTGCTCCCTTTCCTTCTGTCTTTTCCTTCTTGGCGTTAGGTTTACCCCCTTAGCTTATACTGTTTGCTGGACGGCATGCGGCTGGCTTACGCCGAGGGAGGAGTCAGCATCACATCGTCCGCATGAACCGCCTTCTCGGGAACCTTCTCGCTAGAGTCAATCATCTCGCCGTGGAGCAGTGCCGTCAACCCGATGTCGCGATCAATCCGTTGCCGGAGCGCCTCGTCTTCGGCTGCCATGCCCTCAGAGCCGAACAGTTCGTCCATCTCTTCCAGGGTGCGCCCCTTGGTTTCGGGAACGAAGAACCACACGTAAATCGCTCCGACGACGGTAATGCAGCCAAAGAAGATGAAGGTACCGTAGGTAGAGGCGGCGATGAAGGGAGAGGTGGCCAGACCGACACCGAAGTTGTTGAGCTGGGAGGAGTCAGAAACAGTGTCTCTAGGAGAGAAGTGGTACTATATTCACTTACCCAGTTGCTGCTGCCGCCAATACTGACGCCCTTGGCACGCATACTGAGCGGGAAAACTTCGGACACGACAATCCACGCGCACGGACCTGTTTAGAAACGGTAAGCATTAGTCTTCACGGAGCAAGTTACTGATCAGATATCGCGTACCCCAAGAGTAGGCAAAGTTGATGATGAAGATCCACACAAATGCCACTGTCGCCCATCCCGCGCTCTTGTGCTCCCCAAAGGTCCCCTCATAGGAGCCGATGAGGCCTGCACAGATGAAATGGCAGACTGCCATGCCAATGGCTCCGGCAAGCAGGGTCTTCTTACGACCAATGTTGTCGACCCAGAGCACGGCCGGGATTGTGAAGACAAACTCGAAAATGCCAGCAACACCGGTAGCCAATAGAGATGTCGTATTTCCTCCCAATTCAAGGCCTTCGAAGACTTGAGGCGCGTAGTAGTTAATGGCGTTGATTCCGTTCCATTGTTGGAAAAGCATGACCAAGCACTAGAGACGTCAATATAGGATTCATATAGTTGAATAACAATGACTCTAGCATACCGCAACTGTAGTCCGCTTGAACAGCGACGGGTTGGTGACGAGCGAGAGGTAGTCGTAGAAACCGATCATAAAGTTACTCTTGAATGATCCATCCTGATATTGAGGGTACTTCTTCTTAGCGGTCTCTTCCTCAAACATCTTGAGCGACTTGATCTCCAAGTACTCAATGCGGACCAGAATATCATCAGTGGGGGCATCGCGAAGTCGTGCAAGAGTCTGCAGACATTCCTCTTCCCGTCCCTGGTTCATCAGATGGCGAGGCGATTGAGGCATGAATAGAACCATGCCCGCAGCGAGGATCAGGGCTGGCAGGACTTGGATGCACACGGGGACCTCCCAAGCCGCAATGGACTGGCCATCACCCGTGCCTCCAATATAGTTGGTGCCGTAGCCGATCTGTCTCATTTAGCTTGTGCACTTCGAAAACACATGGATACAACATACCCAGAAGCTGACCATGATACCGAAGGTGATGGACAGCTGCTGCACGGCGACGAGGGAGCCACGAATTTCGGGGGGAGCCTGGAATGTCAGTACTGAGGAACAAGCATCAAGCAATAGTTTTGACGTACCAACTCTGCGTTATACAGAGGAACAATCATACTCAGATTACCGACTCCCAGACCGGTAACGAACCGACCAGCGAAAACATAGCCAGCGTTCTTCGTACAAGCCTGGACGATCACACCGACGCAGAAGATGACCACGGCGACAACGACAGTTTGGCGACGGCCCAGAGCATCGGCGAGATAACCGTTCAACAGTGTACCAACCCACGCTCCCAGTTCCAAGATCGATGTAAGCATACCCTGCTTAAGACCAGTTCGCGCTGCATATCCGTCGGTCTTTACATGTTAGCGTAGGTGTAAGGCGAGGTGGAGGGCGAAGCATACCGCCTTGATGAAAGAATTCATAGTCAAAATTTCGGAGAACATTCCCTGGTTGTCTTTCAATACCGTTAGCCAGGCTTTGTCGTCAATGAGCCATATGAAACCTACATCCGTAGACGAAACCACCCAGTGACGCAAACAGCGCAATCGCAAATGTTTTCTTGCTGCTCATAAGCCCACGCCATCCGACGCGATTGCCGGCAAGCTCAGCACGCTTGCCGGACACGGCCTCAGCGCCCGCACCCATACCCATGTTGAGCGATGGTATGGACAATCACAGTACAAGCCCCAGAAAAGTACCGATGATGTGAGAAGAAACAGCGCAATCCAAATGGGATGTCAGTGACAGAAAGTAAGAGAAATAAGACCAACGAGCATCAATCCGCGGGGAGCATGCGACATAAAAACAACCGGCCTCGGACGCAATGCCTGTCATTCGTCCCGTATAGCTATAGCTGCAGCATCCTCTTTCTCAACTGCTTTTACTTTTTGTTTAGGCTATTCCCATTTGAAACTAGATCAATGTCGCTAGAGGCCGACATCGATGTCATGCAATTTCCGCGAAGCGCTTCCTATGGCCCCATGATTGGGCATTCGATTTAGCCAGACTTCATCCATCGGTGCCAGGCTAGCTAGGTCCGGTAAGGCGTGCTACAATTATTTTACCCCAAAGAATCGATTCATCCCCGTGGGGCCAGTCGGATGCCATGGGGGCCATGATTAGGCATGGTTTGTCATCGGCTCAGGTTCGGCATCGTGGAGGCCGGATTGGATTATATCCGCCGGTTGGATACAAGCTTCGTGGCGGGCGGCCTGGCAATGGCTACGCCCGGCGGTGCTTGGCAAGCGCTAGCCGGGTGACACGGATGAATGATGACATCAAGTAGTAGGTTGAGACAGACCGGATATCGTGAAAGGTATGAAAGCAGCCAGTGGATTTTGCGGGGATGGGAGAAAAGAGGGGAACCATGGTAAAGGCGAGGGGGCACGACCACCACTGTCAATGAAAAAGCGGAGGTAGAATATGGGGGAATGCGCAAGACGGATCTGGAGAGCAGACAAGACCAGACCATTCTATGACAGGCAATGATGGTCAGATTTAGCCGGATTTCCTCCAACCCCAAAATACTTGCAGCCATCAGGCTGGCACAACAGCCGGAAGTCAGCCCATGGTTAGGACGGCTCCTTTTTCTCACTGGCTGTTCACAAAACACCCATCAACCGTCAGGCTCTGTTCTTGGACCGCTGACACGATATCCGATCAGTGCTTTGCCACGAGTTGAGCTTCTGCGACACGTGGAATGTCACCTCGCTACAGCCCATTCGAGTGACCAACGCTAAAAACCCCTTGCGTCTCACACTCTGCGTTGGCGTATGCCGGCCACCCAACCGATCAGCGCCTGATTCCGCTCGGTCGCAGTTGCGGGGTTCATTTCACGCCGTGTTTTCTGCTTCGCAGTCTCCTGCTTGCTCGAGCCGGCATCCTTCGCGCGAAAGATGGCTCGGGCCATCGTCGAGACAATCGGGGTTGCCAGGATGTGAGACCACCGACCTCCTGTTCCGACCTATCCAGGTATTCAAGTCCGAAGCCAACAGCTGGTCGTGCCGTCAGCCGGGCCCACTTGTGACTCACGCGCCTTCCTTGACAATAGGTAACATTCAAGCAAGCCGAATCCATGGATTTTTCTATGAGTTGGTGGTCAGATTGAAAGATATGGGAACCATGAATGTTTGGATGGCCAAATAGTCGAGGTCACCGTGCCATGGGGAAAGGGGGTCAGCTCGGAGATCCCCACGGGGATGCCGGTGAGTGAACACAGTTTAGGTGGCCTCGGTTACCCTCCGAAATGGGACAAGCGAGTCCCGCCTGGGTCATACGCCTTTTGCGTCGCTGCTGCCTTGATTGATCTCATTCGCCCAGTGCCATGCACAGGTGAAATGGAGGATGGAGGTGTATGTCGGTCCGTCGCGAGAATGGTTGGCCTGAGTTGGCTTGCGGCTCCCTCCATTCACTCTCAACACCACAATTTTAGCGTCCTGCTTCTGGCACCATTGACTAGCTTATTCTTTCATTGGGCTAAATCAGGTGTCAATAGTATCGGTCACTGAGCACCCCATGAAGTATTATTGGTCAGGTTCGAGGCAATAAAGGTTTCCAATGTTGGCGTCCGGTACTCCCGACTACGATCTTCTCGAAATAGACGGGAGCGTGCGAGAATGTTGCAGAAGTAGATAGATTATTCCTGTTCTTGTTCTTTTGCCTACTTATTATCGAATAGATGATTTCTGACACGTCGCATGCTCTTTCTGTGCGAAATAATCGCCAGTCAACTTCCGGTTGCGAGGTTATTCCAATTCCCACCACGGGTTCCCCTCCGCAGCCGATGCCGAAAGCACAACCAATGAATAGCGAAAGTGTGCTAACCGATGTTCCGGCCGGCCAGCTAGACCATAGTTTTAGTTGCAAGATAGTCTCTCCGTATACGTCATCATAAGAAGCTCAGTTGCTCCAATTTTTCATTGAATTGGATGTATATATTTGCTAGACCAACTTACTAGCGTACCAACTACAACATCCCAACAATACTAGTCCCAATAACACTGACTATCCAATCTCATATCTCCCTTGGACCCATTACAGCAGGGATCTAGAGAGTTTCACTGAGCTTGCGATACAGCGATCTCCACAAGCCTGTCCTCGGACTTAGGGAAGGGTGATTACAGGTAGACTAGCATGCAATGAACTTAGTCCGTGCACCATGGCCACATCAGTTTTATTCCATCGGATCACTCTATAGGTCCGGAATGGATGAATCATACGCTAGTACATTTGATGATATAATTTGCGAGGCCGATTAATGTCCGATATTGTAGCGATCAGACGCCCGGGCGCCTTTCCAGCAGTGACAGGAAGCAACTGTCAGCAGAATTTGTTTTAGGTGTATAGTGCGACGCTACACCATCTGGGAATCCTACAGTTTCTTGTGACGCTACTTAACTATGATCACTATCATACCAGATCAGCATTACGAACAGGGAACGTATGAAAATCATAGTAAACCCCTTTCGGGGGAGTATGCAGTTTGAGCCAACAAGAGTAACCAACCAGAGAATGCTTAAGTACATCACCGCGTTTCAATATATTTTCCTTTAGGCAACCATCAATTTTAAACACCACCCGCACACCATACTTGTGTCGTGCGTCCGTGCGATAGGGTAGAAACAGTGACAGGGCATCAAGCAATGGTGATATTGCTAGCACTGCAACTAGTTCCATGAAAGTCACGAGATCGAGGGCAAAAGACTGCCTATGGACTCCGCATTGAGGTCGATCCAGGTACTTGAGAGCTTTTGTGGGCGGATTGCATGATCAATTGCATCATGTTTGCGAAACAATCAGGCTATTGGCTGTTGATAAGCGCTAGTGGATTGCTTGATCTACCGCTTCCGGCCGTCAGATGCTTGATTTCCTCTCAATATTTACGTGTATGCAGCGAGGCGCAACGCGGGGGTAACTATCTGCAGATAAATAGTAACAGATACATGATGGTTCGAAGGTGGCATGGGGCAAAGGGGATAGATGTTCTGTTGTATGAATATGATTTGCTGAGAAACGACGGTCGAAGCGTAGAGAAGGGACATGTATCTAGACTACTATTTCCTTCCTCACACAATATGGTAAGTAACATCGATCGAACAAATATGACTTTTGCTAAATTTCTATGCAACAGAAAATCTTTGAGGGGCTGCCCACTATAGTAAGCTTTCATAAAATAGACATCAGGCCCTGTAACAGTACTCAGTTCCCGAATCTGGCAACAGATGGCCTACAACCCACATCTGGTGCTATTTTGCACAACGTACGGGACCAGGACACCCTTTATGCTGTTTCAGATGCTATAAGGCTTCACCTTTATCAAGTAGTGGTGTTGACCGGACGCACACATTAACGCCAACCACCGCCACAAGGCGAAACTCTTATGTCTCATGCGTGACATCACCCAGAATGAAGACAAGATAACCATATACGAACGAAGTATCCACGTTGAATAGCTTCTTGGCTCTTGTATGTACGACTGCCGCGCTGTCTTCCTTGTCGTTTCCACAAACGACAACGTCCCAGGCTGTCTACTGGGGCAGGACACGTCCACGACGGTCATCGTGCCCTACAAATCCTAAATCATGCATTAGGAATCGTGTTACTCTCGTCTGTAACTTTGGATGAGCAACTATCGCGCCTTGTCCGGTTTCTACTTAAGCAAATTCTGCTCCGTTCGTCCTCTTTCGTGTATGTTGACCTGGTTAAATCAGAACGTATGCTGCGCAAGGAAGCGGCGTGGTTAACTACTATCTTCACTAAGCATGGAGCGCTATCAGTGGGTGTGCAGCGCGGCCATGTGCTGGGTTTCACTGAGGAGAATGGCTCGCTCTCGTATTTGGATTTGGCGGCTGGGATTGTCGAAGCAATAGATGATCCGGATAGGGGTTATGATTTGCGCAATGTTTGTGTTTTGAAAATCAATGGAAGGGCGGCGATTCCGTGGGATACACCTATATGTATTCTTTTGGGGTTGGTGAGGTATTGCTTGCCCTTTGTGCATTCCCATTTGCCGTCTACGGGGCCTGCTTAGTGCCACGGCTTTTACTTGGGCTGTTGGAGTTGAATTTTATGGGTCTCTTAGTATGTAGCGTGAGATAATGGACAGGTAGAGTAACAATTACACAATCGACTCTTATATACGTAACTCCTCACATGTCATACGTCCCAACTATACCCACAATGATAGACGCACCAGCCATCCACCAACTCGCCACACCAAAAGCACCCGAAATATCCTGCTTGAAAACAGTCCACAGTACCCCAAAAAGCAGGCTTGGAGGGAAGAAGCCCAATGCGAGAATCCACCAAATCTTCGTCCAGTTCCAATCCTCCTTGTAGAAGATACCCCATGCCTCTGTCGGACTAAGATACTCGCTCTGCAACTTCCCACATGCCCTCTTGGGAAGCTGCTGAACAATCAAAGTGCTATTTGGGGCGATGTAGTCTGGATGCATGAAGAAGTCCATCATGAGTCGTGGACCAATCGGTGGAGAGAGCTTTGGAGGGATCGGCCGGCAGTCGTATTCTTTTCCTTTGGGGAGGACAAGGTGCTCGGGAGGTACGCAGACACAGGGCCTGCCGGTTTCACATATATCTTGGTGGCATCGCACGTCGATGTAGCGGGTTCCGCCATAGGCAAACTTATGCGTGGTAAGCATTAGTGCAGTGTCAGGGCAGGTATGTTTACCTTCATGAAATGTATACTATGCAGAGTCTTCAGAGACCAGATGGGTCTTAGTCGTCCGCGGTGCTCATGGTAGATGCGGCGTAATGTATGGAAGAGCTGGCGGTCATTTGCGACGCCTACGATAGACTCCTGTCGAAGTTCCACCGCATATTTACCATTCTCTAGGCATGATAGAAGAAGCGGAGGATGAGAGATCATCTCACCAAGTTCAACATCCGTTTGGCTGTCGCTGGTGTGTAGAATCCCCGAGCCTTTTGACGGATCGGCAATTTCACTCAAGGGGGTGTATTGCTTCTGTGATGCGCTCGAGGTTGAATTATCGGAAGGAGTGAAGCTGGTTGGCGCATCTTGGTTGCCGCCATTCATGGCAGCAGCTGCGACGTATGCTGATGACCTCAGGAATGCCTTCATGTCTTCCAAAGCACCTGGCACATGCTCAACATAATCATCATACAGCCATTTACCCCTACTCTAGGAGACGTCAGTTGCGATAGACATCAGCATGTGATTGTAGACATTTGTTACTCACATTCTTCCATCTGATTCGTTTGTGACCTGGTCGAGTGTCATTCTCCCTGAGGCCAATGCGAGATAGGATTGTTAATGTTCCATGATACATTTTGGATAGCAAAGATGGAAAAGGTGATGGGCCTTCAGGTATGTAATATCCCTCGATGGGCCGCGTCGTAACTGGATCTTGCAGACGGCCAGGTCGGGACGAATCAGGGAATTCATTCAACACATCAGTCAACTGACTTGGATTCTGATGATCTGATTGTCGCACATGCTGTTGCCTTTGAACAGTATCAGCGTCTTCATAGCGATACGTAGGTTTCCCTTCCAGTGGTCGGTTACTGGATACTATATAATGTTTCCCCAAACTCCTATAACAACCTCGAGATCTGCATGTTTTACGCCTGACACAAAGATATAAGGGTAGTCTTGCAGACGGCGGGGAAATTGCTGGTCTCTGTTCGTTCTCCACTGACGGGGGGCTTCTAAACTGCTCCTCAGGCTGTAGGAACTTCTGGCCTGTCGAGGCTCAGTGGATACGGTTCTGGTAACGCTAATATACGTTAGCTAGTAATTCTCCTGCATCAAGTATTATGGTTTAGAGGTGAGGTATACTTTTGTATAGAATCTTTTGGCCTCAAAGCAGGGTCTATTTGTTGCGGAGAAAGATAACGTTCATTGTAGCTCTGTGCTGATCCTAGTGTGTGCGATATACCATCGGACGCAGGTTGCGTTTGGTTGACGGCCAAAGGGCTAGCCGCACGTTCGGGGCTGTGTGCCACGGGTGAACTTGGGGTCTTTAGTCCCAGAGCCCGAAAGCGCAAAGTGCTACTGCCAGGCTCATTCCTCAAATTTCGCTCTTTATTCGATGGGCTTGTAGCCGCTCCTGCGCTCTGATATTCGTCTTTGGGTTTGGAAAACATGGTCTGCGGAGTCTACCAATCTGATGGTGACTTGCTTATCATGAAAGATGCTGTTTTACAGTAACCAGGCCAATCAATCGCACAATTGAAAGTGAGCCCCTTCAAAGGCTTTGCGCAATAATGGGAGACCAGCTCTTTGAATATTCCAACTTACTTGGATTTTGACGTCTTTCAAGAATGGGGGTGAAGGAGAATCTTAAGAAATAGAGGAGGGTGGGTGTTGATCAGGCTGCATTGAGGCGGTGCTTGGAGAACCTCCCGATCTCGCCCAATAATCATCCTTCGGCACCCGCATAAGATGTGGCTGAGCGCCTACAAGGAGTAAGCATTAGTTATACTATGTTCTTATCAGCCCCAAGTGACTTGGACCTTTCCAACCCAGGATACTGCCAATCAAACTGTCATTATGTAACTAGGAAGTTGAAATTTTGAAAATAAAGTAAAATAATGTTGAACTCCGCCTTCCTCCCCTGGGGGAACTTTTGTCGGGGAGGCCAGGTATGCTCGACTCGAGGAGGCGCTTTGATAGACAATCTCCAGAGACACTTTTGTGGAGACATCGGAATACTATACATCTTCCTGGCAGTCTCCTGAAGCATGCGGTGCACTAAATGACCTGGCTAGCCCCGCTGTATCTTGTTCACTATGCTCCACACATTGTTCGATAGAATAATCGCAAGCAACATCCTCAACTTCCATATCAACATCCATTTGGTTGTCACCAGATGCTGAGTTAGACAAGAGTTCAGTATCATTTGACTGCGTCTGACCCTGCACCACTAGCTGATTAGAAGGAACGGAACTGGCCGATGCATCGCCATGGCCACTGTCCAGATCGGAAGTGGTCAGAATCCTGCGCTGTTTTATGAACTCATACACGCACATGAGGTCGTAGAGCGTATACTCTTGTCCCTCGGGGAAATATAGGTTCGAACCCTGTTATACTTTAGCAACCTCGATGCTGATGATCATGATAACCTTACCTGGTCCGATCTGACTAGCATATACTCAGGGGGCAAGTCGCTTTCTGCTAGACCAAGGCTAGCGAGCATTGCCAATATACGCTGGCATTCCTCATCTCCTCCTGATAGGTTCTCCATTTTGCCGGATGCGATGATTCTAATGGGCGTATCAGGGGGATTGGACCTCAACTTCTAGAAACTACCCTGCATGGGTGACCATGCTGGATTTATAAATATAAGTTTATTATAACCTTTGATTATCGAAATATTTCAGGCAATTCTGTTACTTGACACCCTGCTCGGAAGTGGTGTAAGGCACTCTGCTCTCAGGAGCTTTCTATTTGTGTCATGGGAGCATCAACCGGAGGTTCCCGAATATGAAGTGATTTGACCCGGTTTGACCCAACGAGGACGGCCACATCCTTTGAACATGTAACAGACTGGAAACCTTACATTCTGCATTGAATTCACTATAAGGTGAAATTTCAGGCACTGAGACAAGGCGCGCTGACGCGTTAGATGGCGGGTTCTTACGTGTCACACTGCATTAGGGAAAAGCAAACTCTGTGCTAAACGACATGTATTTATAACCTTTGATTTCGTCTAATTATACTTTTTGCCTTGTACCTAAATATGTAGGATATACCACCTAGAAGCCCCAAGTAGAAAAGTCCATACGAGTTCAACATACCATATGCTGTAGGAACTTAGGTATGATAAGTGATGTAACCTGATCCGGTATTAACAAATGGCTATAAGACACAGTAAACCGCTCAGTAAGCATAAGCCGTTGGGCAACTCAGAGCCTTGTTACGAACACCTAATAAGAGTATTGCTAGTGCTACTTTACTGGCCTGGACAAGAGCGATCTGGGTAGTATCGAGGCAATATTTTCTGGAAAGCAGCATTTGAAGACGTTGCTTCCGCATTATGTCACACAGAAACGGTGTTGTTCTTGCTTCATCCACATTTAAGATGCATTCAATATGCATCATGTGGTGCGTGGTCAACTTTGTACTACTGTGAAACCTTCATGCTGTCCACCACGGCTGTTAAGCGTCTCTTACCTACCAGATGACACCTTTACTACCAGTCGTACTGCACACGTTGACTTGTTTATCACCGGATAATAAGACTTTCAGCAAAGTCATGTGCAAAAGCAGGAGCATTCTCGAACTAAACAGCAAAGTTTCGGGGCACAAGATACCACAAGCTACCACCTATCCGTATAACCAGACGCAGTATAGCTCAGCCCTGGCGCCTCACTCTCACAGACGCATTCCCCGCAGCGGAACTTCGCATGACACTTCCAACAAACACATTGAAATTATAATACTTGCTCCGATCGGCCACATCCAGACCACCCTTGCCACTCAAAATAACCTGTCCATTCCGACTAATCTGGAACGTCTGCGCCCCTATTCCCATTGTCACATTCGTCGTCACGATCCCAGCAGGCACATCAACCTTGACCGGCCCAATTGACCCACTCGTAACTGTCAACGTAGCAGGACTGCTCAACATTGTCGCTACAAAGATACTATCACTTAGCATCTGGAATCCATTTGGCGCAGGCATATTATCCTCAGGGCAGTTCACCCCCTTAGGCGTGGGCCGGTACCAGTAAACCAGCCCTTCCTGAGTGATAGTGGGCTTGCTATCTCCGGATTTGTATGCGGCGATATAAGGCTTGTAGAGGTCGCGCCAGGCGTCGTGCGGCATGCCCTTTGCCCATTTAGAGGAGCCATCGTCACTGTGGTTGGCGCTGTAGGGGCCGATATAGTGGGATTCGCCGTAGTCTGGAATAGATGTTAATCGGCTGGCTATCATTTGAACAAACTTGACAATGTGTTTACCGTTCCAAGAAATGATTTCGACCAAGCTTGGCTTGAGGCTCAGCATCTGCTCCCAACGCAGGGTGGGCAGGTTCTCGCATATGAACACCCAGTTCTTGCTGTTGAAGTGCGTAGCAAACCATGGTGAAACCGCTATCGGATCTTAGCATGGCACAGTGTATTCTGTTGAGAAGCAACTCACGCGCCATATATGTCGTGCCTGCGAGATCTTTGATGTACCGGTCGTCCCAGATTGTTGTCATAGGCCCTTTTATTATGCTGTTACCCCCGTCTGTCGGCCATGCGTACCATGAGAATGCCCCGTCTGCGCCCCGCTGAGAATTGCTGGACGCAGCAGCAGGATCTTGAAGGTTAGGCACGGCATGAATAGGGTGTGAGGTAGCTTGCTTGACAGGGCTCCAGTTGAAGCTGTCCCCGACAAAGGTGCTCACGACTGCGCCGCCGCGGTATTGCATCTGCGCTGGGTGGTTTGCGTATTGTTGCATGTAGGCAGTGATCTTGCCCGTGTCCCCGTTGCTCCAGTAGGCGAAGTCGAAGGAAATGAATACTTTGAAGTTGACTTGTTGAGAAGCTTGGTATGCTAGGGCGAGCTGTGTCGGGGTGTACTTGTCAATGCTGGCACAATTGAGTGCGAATGCATCGATTCCGATGGCTTGTGCGGCTTTCATGTCAGTGATCCAGTCTTCCAGCTGATAGTTTTCGACGATGCCGACCTATCATGGTTAGCATTGGTTGTCCGGAAGCTCAGTAGAGTAAATGTCTACCGACCATGAAATGAGCGAAGACATATTTGGGCTCAACCTGAGGTTCGGCAACATCGAGAGCCGGGGCCCCCAAGACTGGGTTAAGGATGCTCGCAACAATGGCGGCCAGAACGACAAGAGAGTTCGCCAGCATTATTGATGAGACGTGGAATATGTAACTTTCTTGATAAGGTACGGATGTGCATCTCAACAAGACTGAGAAAGAGCCCGAGACTCCGATTTAAAGGCCGGTTTCTCCTCACAAATCAGCAGGCGCCTGTTACCATTCACCACTCTGTAGGCATCCTACCCCGTGCCTGAAGATTCATACCCCAGACGGAGAATAAGTCCCATTGCAGGCTTCTTCCGAGCACAACTCTGCAACCGTAACTTCCCGCTCGTAGAATAAATAAGGTTGTGTTATGCCTTAAGCGTTGTGTTACCTGCAGTGGCGATTAACTGCCCGAAGCATTTGTGTAATGTCTTGTCTGGGGTTAGTATAGGTAGTACACCGGTGCAGCCACCTTAGCGCAGGTTGCACTCGGGACTTTGCATCCACTTGGAATTGCTCGGAGGGCTCCTGACCTGATCACATTGTTTGATTTCAGGGGTTCTCTTCCAAGGAAAATTGGCCAAGTTCTGCATTGTTTGTGGATGTTACGATGAATGGTGTTGGGGTAGAAGGGGATGATATTGTAGAACAAGGACCCCTCGGTAGGTTGATACTGTATAAAGCAGAATAAAGTAGTATTTCTAAATCTAATATATCTATAGAATTTTTGTAAACTAGTACTACCGCAGGAAAGAGTAAAAAGTAGTAGCCTAAGGGGGTTGCCAACATGCATCTGCCATGGGTGTCAACAGTCTTCCCTTTCACCTCGATACCTCGGAGATTATCTGGCTGCTTGTAGGTTGCGGGTTATGGTAATGCTCCCTATAACAACCATAAGAATATCGTGCACCTATTGCTTGAAAGAGAACTTGATCTAAATGACTAGGGTAGCTATTATAGCAAAGCTTTTCAAATTACTTCTTCCAACTGACTAAAAAGAATCATGTACTTGTTGAGTGAAATTCTGACAGCAATAACCCAATATATTCTTGGTAAATCAATTGATTACGAGATCAAACTGTCTAGAAGTATACGATCTCGCGTTTCATTCATCCAAGTTATCATTGTGAAATGGATAGTCTTCGGGTCCTCAGGATTGAGTCCAAATGTTAGGCGTTATTTGTTGATTACTATAATGTGTCCGTGTAGACATTTGTAATATACTAGAAAGATGAGTACTTTCTTTCTAGCATTCCTTCAAGACAATAGAGCAATTTGTGCTGTGTGGCAATATGGTAGAATGGTGCGTGGAATTCAGAAAATGGGCTGATGTGGGCCAATAGGAGAGCGAACCATGCCTCAAGTGGTCTCTGATCAGGTGGTAAGACTTTACATTCAATAACTCCTGAGAATTATAATGTCGATAAGGGAAATTGACGTGGTCAAGTCTGGCGAACATAGTGATCAAGTTCAATCAGCGTCGATCAAATAAGACGCAGGAAACAGTTGGTGTCAGGTACAGTAGAGTAGATGCTTGATGGGTCCGTCCGGAGTACAGGTGTTCCGCCCGCAGCCGGAACAACGTCGTCCCGTAAGCCGAGCTCCAACCTCGAAACTCCCAGCCTCTCCTCTTTCTCTCCTCTCTGGCCATTTCATCTCACACCTCCTCCTTTCGCCATCATCGCCATCATCGTTATCATCGTTACCATCATCCTGTAAAGACAGTATTAGCTCCTTGCCGTCCTCGCCGCCAGTCCTGCCATTCCTGTGTCTTCATAGGACTCTCCGATCGCACTTGTTGAGTTCGGATTGGGCACGTACTCGTGACCAGGCCGCAAGAGCTCTTACCACTTTACTCTCATCGACCTTTTTATCATTATTCACTCACGTTTGATGCGAGTCAGGGCTGCTCAACGTCGCTCCAAAGCCCGGGTGGGAGGGCAACTCGATTCTCCATCGAGGGTTCTCCGTCTAGCTAATGTTGCAACAACATCATGACCACGACTTCGCAAAACCCGCCCGGTGTCTTGAAGAAGGCAGTTCTTGTTCATGCGCCCGATCTCAATGTTTCTTGCCGCGCCCGCCTTCGTATTGCCCATGATCAAATTGCTAACCAAGGATGCATCTCCCTTTCGATAACTGCAGATCTCGCTAACCTGAGTGGCAGATCACAGGTACTGACTTTGAATATCCCCCCGGAAAGGGTCCAACAATGTGCTTTAGCTCGGCAAAGCAACAATGAACTCTGTTCATCTCATTTAATTCCTCTGCTCCCAGCGCCTGTCACCAATGTTTCGGCGGTCTCTACACTGACTTTGAGCCTCTGTGCGACCGGCATTGTTCTTTGTCCATCTGAGATGAACTCTTTAAGCCCAGCCACACCAGGAGACATTGATTTCCATTCATTTGCAAAGATCTGTCAATCCCAATTCTTCTATATATACTTCTCCAGACGACAATTCGTGAATAAAGAACTTGATAAGCTGGAAATATTTTCCCGTGCGCTACGGAAAAGGTGTCTTCAGACAGTGTCTTTTGACCACACTCGCCATGGCATGGTCCAGAAAGATTGGCGTGTCTTCAATCTGTCGCCCGATCCACCCCCATATTGTCCGGATCTCCTATCTGAGCGGTTGGAGCAGGTGGATCCACCACTATACTGTGAGGAGTCCGTGTCAGAGCAAGTAGTTAGAAAACGGCAGAGAGGTATTTGCTCATCCTACCATCTTAGGTGCTCTGTCGTTCAGTAGTTTAATCATAGTATCTAGACCCTTGGTCAGTGTCATCTCATGATGAAAGCCGAAAAAGAGTGCTCCTTCAAACCCCTCCACCGATAGGCTCTCCCACCGAAGTAAATACGCCAAGTACTACTCGCTCACCGTCGCCGTCCTCAATCTGCCCAACTTACTTTACCCATGGTTCCTCTGCTGGCGACCCAGTGCGGAAGAAACTTGCGCGTCTTGAACATGAGCTCCGTGGTATTTCCGATGACCTGATTTGCGAACTACTAATCCGATCCGGACGAGGACATCTGCTGGCCACATCAAAAAACGTAGACCGTGACCTGCCATGCAAGGTTGAGAAGGTCAATTCTATCGAGGTCGAGATGATTGAGCAACGCCTCAAACGATATGTCGATGAAATGATTGAGCGCCGTCTTAAATCAGGCGTCCTGGACGAAGTTGTCGATAGTGCTGTCAGCGAATGTCGTGATCAGATCTATGATGAATGCAAAACGAACCAAGCCGAATTTCGTGAACAGGTCGATGATGGTAACTCCGAGGTACGCAACACGACCATTGAATGTATGAAGGAGATGAACGAACAGGCACAAAGGCACATGCATGAAATTGAAGAGCAAGCGCAACAGTGCATGAGGGATATCGAGGATCAGGGTATCGAGGTTGAGATGTCTGCGAAGAAGAACATGGCAAAGCTCGGGCGATGGTTCACTACCCCTGCTCAGTCCTTACCCGAGACCACGGTAAACCCTAGCCATGAGATAGATACTACTGCCAGGCGCAGTTCCATATAGACTCACTCCTAGTTTGATATCTCTTGATCGTGATCGTGCAATCCCTTCTCAAATGGTTCACGAGCAAAATGGGTAGAGTCTTAAGGCTATCCCAGACATAGAGCCAGGGATGGCGAGAAATATGATGTTTATTTTTTAATATCTCGATAGAGGAATAGATACATCGATTAACACATTGACTCATTGCCACTCATTCTCAAATGAAATGGTCTCATGCCTAGAAATAAAAGTCCACTACGCACTTCAGCCACATCATAGCGCAATTTTACCCCCCGTCACCACACTCGCCGTGAGCGCCGACCGGTCAGTCGCCCCCGCCCTACAGGTCCTACGGCCCAGCGTGGCCGGCCATCCTGCGTGCAAACGTTCTGTGGTCCGAAAGTGATTCGTGGGGGACGCCCACCGGCCCACCGCGTCCTGGCGACCGTCTCGCGCGGCCAACTGGTCACCGCTTACTGCAAGAGGATATAAGGGATGCCAAATCACCTATACATGCGGTCACTGAACAAAAGACACAAGGCCAACTCGCATAAATTGCGATCCTCCTTTTAAAAGTACAAAAATTAACATGCTTATCTGATATTTCAACTTATTATAATTCAGTATACTTCAACTTATATTTCGACTACGTTAAAACATACAATGGCTCATTACCTGAACAGGCATTCAACTCTGAAAACTGTCTGACTCACTTGATCGAAGCATCTCAAATCTTCTATTCATATTGTGAAAGGAGCAATCCTACTTTTTGAGCTTGATTTTAGATAAGCAATAATTATCTCCGAGGTATAATTTACAACTCTAAATATAGATGAAGACCTAATCCTTATTCAACCCCGAAGCTAAGCATTACTTACAGGCAGACGTATGTTAATCAGAAAACTTCTCACATGGAGATGCGACTATCAAGTAATCAATATTGACATCGTGGAATGATGGGGCGTGTTTACAGCTTGCTACTAGAGTTCATCCTCCCACCAATCGTCCGCTCAATAGCTTGTCTTTCATACAAAAGCGACGCAGATTCTATATATGTTATTGTACCTGTCTTCTCTCAATGAACTTATCAACCTCGTTAATGCCATAGAAGAGGGAGGAACGAGACACTTAACGAGCCCATGCATTAAGATAAGCACAGCAGCCCCCAGACGGCAAATCATCAGTCCACATATATCGGTATTGCGTACAGTCACTCAGATAAATCCCGTTTCTCTGTCGATCATGATGGAGAAAAGATCTATCCCGCGATGGCACGACTTCTCCACGAGTATACTTTGTTTGTTCGATCCCCCGGGCTTCACAAGCGGACGGAAAAGGAATTCACTTCCGTCTACACTTAGTGGCTTTGCATTCCCGTTCGACCCTATAAATAAGGGGGAACCGTAGAGGCTTTATGGCATGATCGCCTTTCATTTACATAAATTAGAGTGATTACCTGTCACCAATTTATGCATATTAAGCATTCCCACTCGCTTCGGGGCCGACAATCATCTACGGCGTGGCCAAAGCTCATAGGACTTGGTTGACAGGTCAACTAACGTGATGGTCATTATGAACTCTGCATTGGGACCACCTACCACCGACTAGTCACACCTGCAAGTGGCAAATGTCTTTTTATTAACGCTACGGATGTCCGAGTGGGATCAATTTAAGCTAAATTAGGCCAAGCTCCACGGCTTGGCAGGGGTAAGAACAGGGCTCGAACCCTCGTTCATCAGACTTAAATTACTAAATGCTCCCAGCCCATGAGTCGTGAAACCTGCTTGGTTCCAAGATTGTTGCACACGGTGAAGATGGGTGGGAAAAGACATCCACCATCTGCCGAGGAATAGATGACACCGTGGGTTGGCAGACCGGGCTATTTTTGTGTGGTGTACCAGACAAAAACGGCCGGAGTAGATTCAACCGTTGTCGGAGATTGATGGGAAAGTATTGATAAGGTTTCGGTGGAAGATCTTTGTTTAGATGTTTGGCCGGTCCCTCTGCAGATTTAGGTAGTGGGTCTCGGGAGACGTTGGCCAGTCAGATAGTATAATGGGGGTTTGACGGGTTTAGAGTCGCAGTGGTGTGGCAGTAGCGTGATTGGGGTAGATTAACGGGGGCATCGTGACTCCTCCAGAGTCTCACTGAGTCAGTGTCTGGCCAATCCATGGATTGTGGTGTATCCACCAGGCTGACTGTTGTTTCTTGGCGTGGGTTGCTCGAATGTCAAAGACTCAAATGATTTTCCCCTGAGCTTGAATAGTGGGATTGGAGTAGCAAAGCCGGCACTAGATGCTTGGAGGACCCACTGCCGGACCGGTACACTGATCGGAGAGGCCGAGAGATCACAAGCAGTGGATGAGAACCATGAATGTTGAGATTGAAGGTAAAAGGAAATTCATAAGGATCGGACCGGTTGTAGGTACTGAACGAAACACAAAACACAAAATTGCCACCCAATTAATTATCCGCGCATCTACACACTCTCATTGACACTCACGTGCGTGACAACCTGAATGCCTGGATACATGATGCGCTCCTGCGAGTCATTAGTAGTCGTTTCCACTTCCGCCTGGCTGTGTCCTGTCACGGGTTTTAGCTTGATGCTATTGTGTGCATTAGACAGTCCATTGTACGTCCGGCGGGTTGAAGTGCCGTATACTTTCGAGGGGCCGTTTGAGTCTCCACTGCTGGAGAAACCGAGGAGACGGTGCAATCCTGGGAAGCAGGTACTGAGAAGTGACTTGAAAGAAGGAATGCACGCAATGAAGAGAGCGACGGCGACCTCCACACACGACCAATTCATAGCGTTCACTAATGACCCTGTAGGCGTGGAAGGTCAGTAAGCTCCAGACAAACTGAGCCGTAAGAGAGTGACAATGTGACTTACAGGTATGGTCATTGGAAAATGGATTCATATACGAGACGCGAATAATACTGGTCACGCACACCCTAAGCACCCATCATGGTTAGTTATGTCCACCGTTTTAGCGTAGAGGAAGGGTTCACCTACAGAAGACCCAGACTGAACATGATCACCAAGCCCGCTCGCTTGCCCACCGTCATCTTCAACCGAACCAGCTTAGGCATTGGCATCAAAAATAGAGCCAGATCACTAGCCAGTTTTATCCCAAAGTTGGCGTAGTAAAAGGCGGTCATGTTCACACAATGTCCTTCGACATAGCCAGTCGCGTCCCACGCTTTGTGAACCGGCGTGCATTGAAAGATAACAACAAGGGTTTCGGCGATTGTTTCCGCAGCAATGATGACCAGCACACACCAGCAGCCAATCCGAAACCACTTCCCCGGGAAGATCGAAAGGTAGAGAACGCAAAAGGAGATTTTGATAAAGCCGAGAGCGAGAACGTAGGCGAGCATGGTCACAAAGTTGAGCTGGAATCATTTCACAGTCAGTATACATTGTCGCGGCACCTTTTTGCGTTGATGATAGTTCATACCCTCAAGAACATGCCCCGGTCGGGCATATCGATTATACCAATATGCCTACCGAACCCATACTTGGTCACTGGATTAGGCAGTTAGTATATGATGTAGGGTCGCGTGACACTCGGAAAGTCACTTACTGTACATGCAGGTAAAGCAGAGAACGAACGTAAAGACCTAGACATGTCAGCCATCGTCCAGCAAAAGCTGAAAGACTGGCAAATGCGATACTGGGGGTGAAAGGCAGGCGTACCCAACTGGTGATACAGAGCACATCGTCGAAATTAATGCCCGTGAGGTGTCGGATCCGGACGAAAATTCGAACCAGCAGACCCAAAGTCGCAAAAACGAGCAGGATCACATTACATGCAATGATCTCAGGAATCCGAGTCTGTGCCAAATAAGCTATCCGCTCAGGCGTAAGATCTCTCTCCCCGATTCCTTCCATGGGGAAGACCGGCTAGCCGTGGAAAGGAAGGGACCAAAGAATGAAGTCCAACAAAGAAGGGGATGGTCACATTTGTGAAGAACGGAAAGTTTTGGCGCATGCAGGAAAGAGTCATGACGGCGATAATCACATATATGCCCCTGTAGTCTGCAGGGCCCGGGCTTGTTTCATCCGTCAACCACAAGTGGGGAAACGGATTTTACGACGCGTGGAATCCTCCACCGGCAGATGGTGTCGCACGTTGGACTTTCATGCTTCAGGGCAGGTATTGGCATTAGGCTGTGATTGATGGAACTGGCTGCTGATCCAGACCGCGGTTCACCGGACGATTTCCACGCCCCACTCGTTGATCCACTCGTTAATAATTTTACAATTTTTCCACGAACACATCCCAGGAGAGGTTAAGTCTCCATCGCTCCAAGCCCGGGTGTTGTTGACTGTAAAGCTAAGCTTTGTAGGGGGTTTTTCATATAGACCATTGCCAGGAGCAACTATTTACGACCGCTCCTGGATGTTCAGATCTATGGAGTGGTCAGCCAGCCCTATGTACTTGACTAGTCCATACGTGAAAAAATTCCACTTTTGTCCTGACTATATTTGGCCTCAAATCAGAATAGAGAGTCCTCTGTACAAGTATGCCGTAGACTAGCTTATGTTGCGGTCGCATATGATATTCCGCAGTATGATCACCTGGTACTTATCAGACGCGCGAGGTGTTCGTTATGAGATTGTTTTTACTACAAGAAGAACCACATCAGCCGCTATCAAGGCTTGAGTGAAACAAAATATAGATAGCATAGGAGGAAGATTATCGTACTCGGCAAGTGTAGAGAAAGAGGTAGAAAGCTGCCAGACAGCCGGTCGAAGAAGTTATTTTGCATACTAAGGGGATTTGAAACGCTTGGCAAGGGTCACAAATCGACACTTGGAATACGCTCATCAATTGTGGTTTCTCTTAGCAAGATGGGGATAGCAGGTAAACATACCGACATGAGCACTGATCTTCTAGACTGTATCACCGCAATTCAGCGTGGCGCACTGGAAGCTCATGGGAACGGCTTTCGTCGTCCTGAGAGTACTAGAACTGTCTTGTCTCTATTGGAGGAAAAAAAAAAGCTGCTGGCTTTCATGTTGGCTTGGTCGGGGCATGGACTTCGGTGCACGATTTGAGCTGTCGGCAACGCCCTACTCCTCCCCCATCCGTTATCGCGACGACCAGCATAGACTAATGGTATGGTTTGTCGGGTTATTTGGACTGCTCCAGCCAGACTCTTCTATATTCACATATTATTTTTGGAGTCATTGTCTTCAGTGTCAGCAGTGACCATACGTTGACCAAATTCACTTGCAAGCACACCTTGAGCTACAAACACCGTTCCGAGCATTCCGGGATGTGATTGTATCGGAATGCTGTTGGACTCAATGTTATTGACGTCGTTCCACTGCTCGTTGCACGAGCATTTAAATACTGTTCGAGGGTTTTTTTTTCCCTTTATTCTTGTTGTTCTTCTTTATGTTACAGTAAATAGACACATGATATAGGAAAATCTAAGGGGATTGTTCCGGGAATTACACCGCTGTCATAGTTGAGGAAGTGAGAAATGAAGAATATCGACGTGGCACCGTGATTTAATTACTTTATTGATAGAAGCTTAGTCCTGCGTTTCCTCTGGGGAGCCATTACCAAGGATTGCCTGGTTCCGCACCGCAATCAAATAGCAATCCTTAGCGATTTGATAACCTCAAAAAGCGAACAGATCGCTTTCCAGTATCTTCATCAAGGGTTTCAAATTCACGATGGCGCTCACGACCAAATCGTCCCTTAACTTGGTCCTTGGAGCGGGAAATGTGAGTTTCTTCGCCTCAACCAATCCTCCTTTCTTATGCGTCCCAGGTTGGAGACACATCTGTCGACCCCACTCCACGCTTCGACACTCCGGACGAAGTGAGGACCTATTTCAGCGCTTTTGCGTAAGCATAAAATCGCATTTTATGCTTATAGCCCTGCCGCAGCCGGCTTCTTTGCTGGCAACCATAAAAACCCCAAGACGGGTGGACCTTTCCACTCATCGGTAAGTGCAGCCTGCCACTCGAAAGTAACCACGTGCTGATTGATCAAAACATATGGCTGGCAAACCATACTCCGGCTACTACCTGAAGCCTGCCATTACGGAAGCCACGGATAAAACTGTTGAAGTTGCGGCTCGCTATGGCATTGGTGGCTATGCTGCTGCTCTTCCATGGACTTCAAGGCACAGTATTCTTCGCAAAGAGTATGGGAGTTCCATTATTATTGGTTCCTCCAGCTTCGCCCAGTCGGAATCGAATACTGGCACAATTGAGGTGGGTCCGCTGCCCGAGGACGTTGTAGCTGCCTTGGAGGCGCTTTATTATGAAATTGGTGATGAGGTGCATTACCATCTATAGCTCGCTAGAGGGATATTAATAGTATTTTTGTTTTATTGCGAGGATTATAGTAGTTACCAGTAAGGGCCCTGGTGACGATCAAAAATACGTACGAACTGGCGACTTGCGACCTATAGACGCTAAGTTAGTTTATGTCAATATAGGCGCATAACTATAATGACGAATATGAATTATTGTGTTACCCATTATCTTTGACCTGAAACCATGTCAAAGGCACCATGCACATCGGATGTTCTAGGTCCGGTCCCTGAGTATAAGATCAGCTTTATATAGGCTAAAATGGTAAAACCAACAGCAATGCCGCATTTCTTACAAAGTCTCTTTAACATGTCTCAAATTGGTATCCATTCATTATATGAATAGCCAAGGCCTTAACAACAGAAGCCAGCAAGACCTTCGTATTGAGATTGTGATTGACTAGTAGACAGAAAATATTAAGGCCGACATGGCTCTCACAAATCTTCTGGGGAAGTATTTTCCACCCCAAAGAACCCTATCACGGTTTATCACGGGTGTCATTGCGATCGACACGCCATCCGTGCAAGGGTTCACCCAGCGAGGCCCGATAAGGTGTAGTTGCCAGATAGTGAGACTTCAGATGTTCAGAGGCTGTTTTAGTGCATCCCTTCCGCAGGCTAAAGTGACGCCGCTGCTCTTCATCCGTCTTTCATTGGCTTCTCCATCATAGCGCATCTCCGCCAAGTCCTCACAATTGAGCACAATCAGCCTTTGGCCCCCAACAAAACACGAAGTCGAGAAATGGTTTTTTTCGATCCCTTATCTTGAGTTTGTCAAACTCGAAGCTCGATGGCATTCCTGCCCGAGAAACTTAACAAAACCCATTTTCTTGGGTCTATGATCCTTGCGCGACCGACGGAGGAGCATACCCGACCTTGATCCAACAATCCGCATAGAGTCCGTCGCTTCGGTTCGTCCTTGATCATCATATCATGTCTTCACAGGTCTGCCATGGCATGCACAATGGGGTAATTCAGAACATCCAAGCCGACCTGCCGTGTGGTGTCACCAATTCCAGCCATCCCTATGTTACCTGCTGCGTCAATGGCGACTATTGCCTCAGCAATTCCATCTGCGTGAACACGAACAACGAGAATGGGAATCTTTATTATGCGGCCGACTGCACAGACGAGACCCTAACAGATCCCGCCTGCGCGACACGATGTGGTGAGATCCAGCAGATTCACTGTTCATGTCCCCAAAAATGGAATGGCTAACATGAGTATCTCTTTTAACTTCACAGGAGGAAGGAATAGTGCCGAAATTGTATACACCTCTGCAGGCTACTGGGCCTGCTGCGAAAATTCCGCCGGGACGGTAAACTGCTCGGACCCTTCCGAAGAAATCTTCCCCGGAGTCGCGCCCTCCAAACTCGCTACCATTCAATATCTGCCATCCACGGCGTCCGGCACGCCAATTTATGCGGTCGCATCTTCTACCTCTACCTCTGATTCCTCTGCCTCTAATGCTTCAACAACCTCGTCCTCTTCCTCCTCCTCCACCGGTTCGTCCAGCAGTGGTTCTTCCGGGATCGGTGCCGGCGCGGCTGCCGGAATCGGTGTAGGCGCTGCCGCAGGCCTTGTCATAGTCGCGGCCATACTAGCACTTCTGTACTTCCGCCGGCGGAATGCGCAGAGTGATGGGCTTCCCCAAGGGCCTGGGGGATATAATGGGTTGGGCGATGGGTCGTGGGCGCAGACTCAGCCCGTGGTTCATCAGGTATATGAGCTGGATCGGTCCGGGCCGCATCCCGAACTGGATGGGCAACCTAAAGCCATGTAACCGCGCAGGATGATGAAAGTTGAGGACGACTACTGATGGGGATTTTTATACTAATTAATGCATGGGTGGGTTGAATTGGCATTCAGGTTATGATCTGTGAACTGCATAAACCCCACAGAAGCACGATCGTCATAATGATTTCTCTGGTGCCAATCTGTACTTCGGTTGGCATGCGCCTCGGAATAGGTTTTCTGTTTACATTTACATTTACATTTACATAAGAGTCGATACGCTGAAGTTTGCTCGACCAAAGAAATATAAAGCAAGATGAAAGAATTACCAGTGATCTCCAAAGAATTTCCTCTCTCAAGGAAACGGGTCATACTGCTCCTTCCCCCAACAAGCCCCCTGCACCTCCAACCCCGTAACATTCTGCTCCGGTCTCCCATCAGCCCCAAACCGCTTAATCACTCCGCCATTCTCCCCAAACGGCTCAAAAGCCGGCCATCCCATCCTCTCCAACCCATTCTCCGGATCCCTCATAAACGCCAACAGATAGTCTTGCATAACCTCACTCGTCTTCTTCTCCAGCAGTGACCCATTTCCACGGACAATCGGATACGTCCCGAAGTTCATCGTCAGGTCACTGGAATGGTACGCGCCCAACCAATGCATCGGACTCACGTTACTGAAGTTGCCAGCAAACTGGTATCGATATGTCGTGCGGTTCGCGTTATACCGCACTATACTTGTGTTTGCGGACACGCAGAGCCAGCCGTCCAACGTGGCGGCGTTCACGCCAGGTTGCCATGGCCCCGCGGTGACGTTGTTCGTCGGGAAGGTGTACAGCGCTGCGGCCTCATTGGCGCAGTTGGACATGATGGCCGGGGTGTTGGCGATGAGACCCTTTGCCGCGCGAGCGGGGTAATCTGAGAAGACGACCTTTTCGTCTGCGATGGGGGTGAATGTTAATGATGGGGTTGTTTTGTTGTCGGTGTACTGTCCGACGAAGTTCTGGATGCGGTTCACGGAGACTTGGCGCATACAGTCGAGTTCGGCGGCCGGGTTGGTGGGGAAGTCGCAGCCCATGTGTTTCGCGACGAAGGTGAAGTTCGTGTGGTCATGATCGTAGTTGTCGAGAGGCTTTAGGGCTGTGCCGGATTGAGAGATCGTGGCGCGCGCAATGAGGTCGTCGTGCCATGCGTAGGTGTGGAAGTCTGTGGAGATAGAGCCGGCAGATTGGCCCCAGAGGGTGATGGCTTCAGGGTCACCGCCGAAGTTGTGAATGTTTTCGCGCACCCATTCCAGGGCGGCGCGTTGGTCGAGGATTCCGAGGTTTTGGTTGTCTAGACCGGCAGCGTTGGGGAAACCCATGATGTTGACGCGGTAGTTGGTGGTTACGACGATGTGGCTTTGGGTTCGGGATACCCAGGACGGGGGCAGCTGGTAGGGGATGTTGATTCCTCCGGTTTTGAAAGCTCCGCCGGTGAAGAAGACAATGACGGGGAGGTTGGTGGCGTTTGTAGGAGCCCAGATGGCGAGTTGTAGGCAGTCTTCGGAGCTGGCTTGCGCCATTAGGCCAGCGGTAAAATTCTCGTTGCCATCCCATATGTAGAATTCCGGGACAATGGACCCGAAGACGCTGGGGTTTCCGGAGACATACTGGGCGCAGGAGGGAGGGTAGTTGGTCGCGTAGTGGGTTTCATTGGAGTCGGCGAGAGGTGCGGGTGGAAGCCATCGTCGTGAAGCTACCGGGGGTTGCGCGTATGGGATAGATCGGAACTCCCGCACGGAGGGAAAGTCGGGGTTGAGAAGACCTGTGAATTTGCCTGTTCTTGTGCGGACAGTCAAGTGGTCATCACTTGCGGCCGTTAGAGTCGGCAGGAGGAGCAGGAGAGTGGACAGGATCATGATTAACGACCCATTGATGCGAATTCGGGGAGTCTTAGTGCTTGCCTTTATGTAGTTACCCGGGGTCCCCGCATTTATGAAATCCCACTCTTCAGCTTCTGAGCACTCTGGCTAACCATAAAAGAATACCGGTATCGGCACTGACCTCGGTAGAGAAAGTCTAGAGGGTCAGTTCTACACGGGAGTGGGTCTGATTCCAGCAGCGACATATTATTCGCCTTCACGGCACTCGGCTGCGTATACCCCCATGATTGGGACTGCTTGGAGTGCAGAAACGCGGGTGCAGATGCCCTGCCGATCGCGGGATATCCGGATGGCCCACCCGAGTGGGAAAACCTGGAGCATCCGAGGATGTGAGGTCGGTATTTCCGATTCCCAGGCAGAAGGGTAAAACGATGCATTTGATTCTGGGGTGAGCTTAAGAAGGGAGTGATGATGCTATTTTCATCGGATGAGAGACAATTGACGCCGATAATGATAACCCAGACCGACACAAGGCTAAAAAGGTTATTTGCTTGACACAGGGTATTTGCTGTACTAGGAGTAGACAAGACGCATAGGAGGATGGGGGTGCAGACTCATGTGCCGATGCACATGCTCATCCACCTCATTGTCGGACTTGACAGAACAGGGAAGGACAAAGGCCCTGTTAATTCATTCCTCTGTATCTGAAGATTGCATAAAATCCGTTATTGCGGTGAGAGAACCGAGTCCTATCAAGAAAGGATACAGTGTTATTTGCCAACTTCTACAAGCCCCAGAGACTGGGATAGACAGCTGAATGTTGCTACAAGCGATAAAGAAGGTGTGCCACGCATATTTCCCCCCGTCAGAACCAAGCATCCGACAAGCTTGCTGTGGGTCTAAAGAACGGGAAACAAAAAGAAAAAACAAAAAATGCTTCCACGCGGATTCGAACCGCGGACCTCATGATTACTAGTCATGCGCTCTACCAACTGAGCCATAGAAGCTGGTTGATATATGTTTTGCATGTGTTAGGTAATATCAAGCCAGGTAGCTTGGACTGCTCAGCATAAGACTCTCTACAAGCTGCCATGCAGGCTTCAACTTTATGAGCAGTTAGTCCTTAGGTAATGCGGCATTGAAGCCCTCCGTACCATTTCCCAAGTAAAGAAATAGCGTTCTAATACCTACTGCTCCCACTTCCTCTTTCTTAACTGTAATAACTTTGAAACTGAAAAGATGTGTATCTTCTTCCTTGGCTTTCACTGTATCAGAAGGAATTTACTACGAGGTATCATCGTCACTGAAGCCGGATATCTACTCGTTGATCCCTCTCCTATGGAGCTTATTAATTCAAGTGATATGCTCTCTGATATATAGTTCAACAAACTACCAGATGAACATGATAATGGTTCTGTCTCTCGGTTCAACCACTCTGTACGAATTATATATAATTGCTGCTGCATCCAACAAATCTCGAAAGGCTCGCTACTAACACCACCCCAGGCCTGCAACTGAAGTATAGCATAAGCCTTCGACCAGAATTCTTATGATTCTTTCAGGATCAAGCATGGCCTTGATTTCAGTGTCTACTTGCTGAATCTGCTCCTTGACCAGGAATTCCACGTTTCATGAGGTTGACAAGGTTTGACGCCCAGCGGACATTCGACTGTCCTGCAACGCAGCATGTTGTCGTGAGACATTTGCGGACGGCCCGATGCATGCAATGCCCTACACTAACAGAAGCTTTGGGATATTACACCGCCTGCTTTGGATGGACTATCGCCAGATACTGCATGCTAGGGACAGATCATATATTCCTTTTCATTATCTATTACCATGAACCGCAAGTTGACATGACTGCTGATATGTACACAGCAAAGTGCAAATTCCTATGAACTCCAGCTTGAGAGATGGTCATGAAGTTGGTAGTATACTTCGGGTAATCAGTCTTTTCTGCGATCCAGATAGCGGTCTTGTTCGTATGTTACAGCCTTTGATTGGCAATGCTAATTAGTTGTAAAAGTTGTAATATTGATTGAGTAATAAGTTGCTCACCGATATCATATATATCGTATCCAGACACTTTTTAGCAAGGTCTAACGTAGTCAAATAATCTCCTCCCTTCGCCGCCACCACTCAAAGCAACCAAACCTTGCAGGCGGCAAGCAGAGGAAAATTCTAGATTGTTCGTGACATGTCGTTCGTGTACATTGTGCATCTCGCAGCGCATGAAGTAAGTACGTATGCAAATTTCGCTTCAGAGTATAGGCCGCTGGCGATTCAATAGCCCGACGAATTTTCTCAATTGCTTCCTGAATGCAACATCCAGCCTCTGAGGTTGGTCGTGTTGTACACGTAACTTCCTACCGACATGGAAGCCTGCTGGTGTTTGTAACTGCAGCTGTGTTCACTACCGGGCAGCAAAAGCCCCGGTCGGTCTCTCTTGTCTACTGTGGAAGAGCGGATTTCCATAAAATGCGTAAGTTTCTATGCTGGGCAATCAATATGACGGGTAAGATTATAGGGGATAGGAACTGCAGATTAGCTGGTCTCCTTTAGGAATAGATATTGTCACTAATAGTGTACAATAGCATCATTTACAGAAATCCCTAACACCAGAAGGTACTGGTCAAGAGATACATCCATCCGCCCATCCTCTGTCGTAATGTCCCAGCTGACACAGGGTGAGCTTCTGTATTCCCTGTTGCTTCTTTCGGTCAGCTGAGTAAAATTCATATAGCTGTTTACTTAGAGTTATTCGACCGAAAACGGCATTGGTCCTTTGCGCAACGCCGTCGTCAGCTCCACCTCTACTCAGTGCTACTGATTAAGATAACGTCCCTCGCTCGATCCATTATACGAAAATACATAGCCAGTCGCTTCACCATCTTCTGCTTTCTGTATGCTACTCATATACTTACGAGAGTACCATAGCACTTCTCAATATCGAACCACTTCTGCTTATTGTGGCAGCTGCTGGCTTGAAAACTCCGAATAAGTCTTTGTAACGTACCTACTGACTCCCCTTGCTGATTTGACAGCCTGAAAACGTGATGCTCTCTCCAGTGTACAGAAAGGAATTAATCAAGCCATGCTGTACAGTAGGGTCTCCAGAGAAAGTTTCTGGGGATTCAATAAATGGACCTGTCTCCTGCCGGTACTAAACCGGGAATGCAAAGCAAACATACATAAAATGCCGAATGTGTCCATTTAGCTGCAGCTAATTGAGAAGAGCATCCGGCATGCGTATAATCACAATTATCAACTAATGAAGTCAGGTCGTTGAGGCGACGGAGCCCCTATGGAACTTGAGTGTCACTTTATTCTTCTTAGGACGGGGGCATTCTGAGTGGCAAATAAGGTTGACGGCATAGCCAACTTAGTAGTGCAAGCGGTGAAGGAGCGTATATACGGATTTATCAAAGGATCATGCTGGGAAGGAGAGTCAAAATTGAACCTATAGGTTGCTATTGCTGTCTATAATCCGTTGATCAATTAGTTAGAAGGACATCTATAGTTCGACTGGTAATTGTTGGGTACAGTGATGATTAACGGCCACTGGCCTAATGGGGCAAAGATGGTGAGACCTATCTGAAGGGTGGGAGTTAGTGTAGACGGAATTTATGCATGGATCAGGTCTAAGTATGCATCCGGGCTAGGCTATTCGTTTCTGGAAGCCAAAGCCGTATTGTCCGTAAGTGTGTGCATCCCAAATAAGCTTGTAAATAATATAGTAGCAGCCAATATACCCCGGATCAGGTAAACATGCAGACAGCTTTGATTATAGGTCCTTACATACTATATATCGGTACTGCACAGGAGACCCTGCAGATAAATTCAATATATGGTACCGGGTGAGCCCCACTTTGAGCCTATTTCGTAAATGCGGTGAGCCTATTCAAAGTGACAGATTATGCAGGAAACAACCGTCCTTCTACAGACCTGACCTCATTCTTGGCATTCATGGGTGATATGAACAGACTGCTACAAAAGATAAGAACAGATCACAAAGGGAGTAGTATCAGTTGATAACCATCAATAGCCATAACATGAATAACAGCACCCTGAAGCCGAGCCCGGAATTGCCGTCTATAAGGATTTTTTTGTATCAGATTTCGCATTTCCGGAGAGGATTTGCAGGAATGTGACAGTATCATTTCACTGGCCCAATTAGGCCAGCAATTATAATCCTAGCTAGACTGGTATTTACCCCGGGGCCTCAACATACAGATTTTGCCCCGGTAATCCATCGGTAGCCAAACTCAATCGTCAGGTGTCATCTGCATGCTGCCTGCTTCCTTGATCAATGTGCATGGAGGCAAATGTCCCTTGTATGGTGAATTCTGTAGACCGCCGCAAGTTGCTGAGCTTATGGTCTACCCGTAGTCTTGAGTTATCCCCCCCATATCCTATGTATTGGTTCACTCGCTACTATATAAACCTCTTTGCACTCGACCATATGGGCTGAGTCAACCAGAGAATCGTACTCCTTCCAAGACTCGTTGCATGATTATAGAATCATTCCGCTGAATCATCCAAATCACCTTCCCGTGCGCGGTGCATCTAATAATTCATAATCTGAGTGCAACATGGGCAATACTTTCTCAGCTTCCCCCTCTGATGGGCAACCCCCAAAACAACAGGTACCACTCAAAGGGGATGAGGCAGTGATCACGGGCATGGGTACCGAGTGGCCGTCTCGACTTATTGTGCCAGAGGAGTTGAGTGACTACGCCAAGGAAATCTACCCCGATAACCCTCCATGGTAAGTAAGCCTCACACTTCATATGACGGGGCCTGTCTAACCAACAAACCAGGCTAAAAGCTTTGCTCAAAATCAATACTCAGACAGGCATCGAGACACGACCTGTCGTTGACTTGTGGGATGACCCTCGCTGGCTTGGGACCTCTCCACCTACTACAGAAGATGTAGACGCAGAGTTTCGGAAATTCAGTGTCGAACTTTCTAAAAATGCCGCTCTCAAAGCCCTCCGTGAAAGCAACATCGAGCCGTCCTCCATCACGCATATAGTGTCCGTGACAGTCACGAACGGTGGAGCTCCAGGTTTCGATCAACTCGTCGCTCGTGAATTAGGTCTCTCTCCAACGGCAGAACGAATTTTACTGAGCGGCATTGGCTGCGGTGGCGGCTGTGCAGCCCTCCGGGTTGCCTCCACAATAGCAAGTGCAGCCACATATCGGAAACAAGAGGCCAGGATTCTCGTCGTGGCATGTGAGCTCTGTAGTATTCATCTTCGGGCGGAGCTGCACGCGTCTTCACAATCCGGAATGACCGGAGTTGCCCCAGCCCTTTTTAGCGACGGTGCAGCGGCTCTTGTCGTTTGCAACCCGTTAGGGATGAGCGATAAAACCCCCAAGCAATTCGCAATCGTTGATCAGCGTACCGGTGTTACACCTGGAACACTTGATGAGATGTCGTACACTGTCAGCACCCACGGCTTTTTAGCCTCGATCTCCAAGAACATTCCCAAGCTTGCAGTTGCATCCATACAAGCTCCTTTCCAATCCTTGATACAATCCAACGGGATGTCATCCGCTTCTCCAACCGACTTTCATTGGGCCCTTCACCCGGGTGGCAAGGCTGTTATTCAGGGTGCACAGGATGCGCTCAACTTACCAGATGATGCATTAGCGGCTAGTAAGGAGATATACAGGACAAAGGGAAACACATCCAGTGTTGCCGTCCTCGCTGTGTTGGAAAAGGTGCGGGAATTGAAGCTGCAGTCACCGAACGTTGTTGCTTGTAGTTTTGGACCTGGTCTTACAACGGAGAAGACCCTTTTACGCCGCATGGTATAGACAGCGGTCATCGGCCTCTGGCCTTCTGCTGTGATAAAAATGGTTTGGCTTTGGATTGATTGATGAATTCGCTTCTGTTTTCTACCGGATTATGGTGATTTGGGTAATTTCTGGTTGTTTGTGACACTTGACCGGTGTGTGTATGCCTACTCGATTGATATCATTAATGTTTACTACCTGTTCATTACAATACGAAATACCAAAATGAGTATATTAGGATATAGATGTTGCTATACGTCCTGATTGTAAACGTTTGATCATGTACGAATGAGCTCTCCAATGTTCGAAAGTATCCATATGCCGAGCTTAATATATCGCCTAAAATACCAAGACCTCATATGCCTAAAGGCGCTTTGCTGATTGAGTAAGAATCACTGCACTGACAATTATTTATCGAAGTATCTTGTTTAATCAATAGTCTAATGAATACGACCTGTACATATTCGTCTGGCGTGTTTTCAATAAACGCTTGAGAAGTAGCGACCTGAAACCATTGTTAGTGGCCTGAATATCAAGGCAACGGGATGTTTCGGGCATAGATTGGAGATGCCGACGGTATCCCGTCAGATTGCCGACCGCGTGGAACGTCCGTCGGTGAGAAGCCTTCATACCGATATGTACGTATCATTCTGCAGGGGATATACTACCGATAGCCTACTGAAGCTCTACTTAAGATGCGGGGTCTCCATTTATAGTCCTGGTTTTTTGGTTGCAATTTGTCTATACCCGCAGGGTCGTAATATCTGGTGCTGCGACGCCCGAACATACATACACTATTAGTATGTTCGCTGCCAATATCAGTGGGACATTCACTTCCATATACTCGGCAAACCACTTCATGACCTGCACAACCTAGACTAGTAACAAGATGTTCATCCCACAAAGTCGAATACTTACCCTACGGCAAGTTCACCGCTCATCCCGTCTTCTCCACCAGCGGCCATATGCCACTCAAACGAATACACAGCGCTTAGTAGACAAGCTGGTATGCAACATCTACCACCAACCCCAACTACACAAAGCCTAACACTGTCCAGAGCGAGCACCATAATGACAGCTTTTTACAAGGTAGCGCTTCAACCTACATTGACACCATGTACACATCCTGGAAAGCCGACCCCACCTCTGTACATGTTTCGTGGCAGGCATATTTCCACAATGTTGGGAACGGACACGTCCCAGTTGAGCAGGCATTCATTCCTGCACCAGACCTAGTATCTCCATCCCATACTATACTCACACCAAAGAATGCTACAAATGCGCAATCAGAGACAGTGAAGCAGCTCAAAGCCATACAGTTGATACAGGCATACCAGCGCTGGGGCCACGAACACGCCAATATCGACCCGTTAGGCATGCTCAACGAGGGCAGAGCCAGAAAGAAGGAGTTATCCATGGCGCATTATGGTCTTGGACCTGAAGATCTCGATATGGTTATCCCCGTTGCGCTGGGACCGCAGGACTTCACAGCGACGAAGAGCATGATCCTTTGGGAGATTAATTCGGCTTGCGAGGAGACATACTGTGGAAGCATGGGTGTCGAGTACATGCACATTTCCGACCAGGAGCAAGTAGACTGGATCCGCAGGATGTTTGAGGGGCCAGAGCGCTATGTCTTCTCGAATGATGAAAGGCGACGTATTCTGGATGGCTTAGTACGCGCCACGGCTTGGGAGAAGTTCCTGGCTACGAAGTTTCCGAATGAGAAGCGATTTGGGCTTGATGGGGTGGAAAGTTATATTCCTGCGTTTGAGGCTGCTGTGGATCGATCGGCCGAGAATGGTGTTGAGCATATTGAGATGGGGGTGGGCCACCGCGGGCGCATGAATGCGCTGTATAATATTGTTGGAAAGGATGGGGCTTCGATGTTGCGGGATTTCGAGTCTAAGGAGACTTCAGCTTGGGGAATACCGGGTGATGTGAAATATCATTATGGGGGAAGTGGTGAGAGAGTTACCCCGTCGAAGAGGAAGGTGTATATGAACATGGCGCCGCAGCCGTCTCATGTCGAGTCAGTGAACCCCGTTGTTATGGGGAAGACGAGGGCGATTCAAGATCGGAGGAATGACGACCGCGAGAAGACCATGATGCTGAATGTTCATACTGATGCGGCCTTCGCTGGTCAGGGAACGGTGTATGAGACGCTGGGACTGGCTGGGTTGAATGGCTATGAGATTGGTGGGACGTTGAGATTCATTGTGAACAATCAGGTTGGTTTTACTACTGATGCCTGGCAGGCGAGATCGTCGCCATGTTGCACGGACGTGGCGAAGATCTTGGATGCACCGGTTATTCATGTTAATGGTGACGACGTTGAGGCAGTAGTTCTAGCTGGCATTTTCGCAGCAGATTTCCGCGCAACATTCAAGAAAGATTGCATTGTCGACATCGTTTGCTATCGGCGCAATGGACATAACGAGATGGACCAGGCCTCATTCACCCAGCCAACAATGTATGAGCGCATTGCCAAGAAACGGAACATCCTCGATGAGTATGAGGCTAGAATGATCTCAAAGGGTATCATCAAGAAAGAAGAAATCGCCAGTATGAAGGACAAAGCTTGGGCAGAGCTTATGGAATGCTTCGAGAAGCGTAAGGAACAGAAGCCAGACACGAATGAGTGGCTGATCGATTCGTGGAAAGGAATGAAAATGCCAACAGAGTCAAACGCGGAAACACTATCACAGAAGGTGACAGCAGTCGACCGAGAATCCATCAATGCCGTGTCTAAGAAGCTTGGAGCGGAGGTTCCGGAAGGCTTCGAGCTACACAAAATCCTGGAGCGCATTCTTTCTCGCCGACAGCAAACAGTGACGACCGGCAAGGATATTGACTGGGCTACAGCCGAAGCTCTGGCGTTCGGGACACTTCTCCGTGAGGGCACAAGCGTCCGAGTAGCCGGACAGGATGTCGAACGAGGCACCTTTTCCCAGCGCCATGCTGTCCTCCACGATAAACGGACCAATGAGACATACACACCCTTGAGCGCCATTGAGCTAGATCAGGACTATTCACCATAACTAATTCATCCTTGAGTGAGACTGCAGCAATGGGTTTTGAGTTCGGCTACTCATTGGCAGACCCAGATACTCTCGTGATGTGGGAAGCCCAATTCGGTGACTTTGCTAACAACGCTCAAGTTATCATCGATAACTATGTCGCATCTTCCGAGAAGAAGTGGCTCCAGCGCTCTGGTGTGGTTCTTTCACTACCCCATGGATACGATGGCCAGGGACCGGAACATACATCAGCCCGCTTGGAGCGATTCTTGCAACTGGGTGACGAAGATTCTAGGAAATTCCCGTCAACGGAGCAGCTCCAGCGCCAGCATCAGGATGCTAACATACAGGTTGTGTGCATGACAAGTCCGGCAAACTACTTCCACGTTTTGCGTCGGCAAATTCACCGAGACTTCAGAAAGCGTATGTTCTCTGTTTTAGTCCCACATACCACTGCTGACCATTTTAGCTCTCATCATACTTTTTTCCAAGTCACTACTCCGTCACCCCCTTGCACGTTCGGATATTGAAGAGTTCATCGAGACTACCTACTTCCAACCGTTGCTTCCCGAAACTCAACACGGCATTACCATCAATAAGCCGGAGGATATTAAGCGCGTAATCTTTTGCTCTGGCCAAGTGTATGCGACGCTCTACAAGTATCGCGAAACTCACGGCCTCAAAGACACGGCTATCACGCGGATCGAAGAACTTCATCCATTTCCATGGGAGCAAGTTAGACAAAACCTGGATAACTACCCCAACGCAACGGATGTTGTTTGGTGTCAGGAAGAAATACTGAATGGGGGTGCATGGAGTTATGTAATGCCGAGATTTGAGGTTATATTGGCTAAGACAGAGAACCATACGGATAAGAAGATACGATATGCAGGTAGGGAGCCGATGTCGAGTGTTGCAGTGGGGTATAAGGTGCTTCACGCTGTTGAGGAAGAGAAGCTGCTAGGGGATGCTTTTCAGATGTCTCCCGATGAGTAAACAAGACGTCACATTGCTCGATAGATGGAGGAGAAAGCTCTAATATTATAAGCTAGAAAGCCTATGAAAGAAACAACCTTGATATGAATGAATGAGCTACGTATATCGTTATTCGTAAAAAATTGGCTCCTAAAGTTCACTCCTTCCCAGACAACGCCGCAATCAAAGCGGCACCAATTCCTGACCCATCTTCTGCCGGCACAAAGGTGATCAAATCCTTCGAATCATCAGGCCACTCCAGAATCTCTCGTAAAGCAGCAACTGCCCGCTCCTTGAACCGAAAAAGCTTCTCGAACGTAGACCCATCTACACCAACGCGGCCTTGGCGTATGCCCTCCTTCTTACAGATAGCCGCAATACCGCACGCATACAATCTGGCCGCACGCGTGCAGACAATCTCCCCAAGACGACAACAGACACGGAGTTCCTCGAGTGTCGGCTCAATGCCGAAATTCTCTTTCAGAAAGTTTCGTGTCTCCGCCATGGCGCTATTCTCCGCTGACCCGGCCTCTTCCATCCTCGACACACACGACGATTCCATGGCATGAATATGTCGGAGTCGACTGAGATCCATGTTTTCTAAAAAGCCCACTTTTTCATGTAGGTGGACAATTATCAACCTTACTATTTCCCCCACGTACAGGCCAGCCACCATCTTTTCATATGTTTGTTGACCCGGTCGCGGGGAAGTACGGTCAATCTCGAGATCGAACTGACATCGCGGCAGAACACGATGACTGTTGTCGAAGGCGCCATACTCGGTATTGATAGCTACCAACTGATCAGCAGGAAGATGGTGCTCTGAAATTTTTGGCACGCGCCCGATCTTTTCCATGTATGCAGAGTTGCAACCGGTGCCAAAGATGCTACCGATTTTGATCTCGGGGTCTTTGTATGCCGATGCGATAAGCGTTCCAGTCGTGTCGTTCACCAATGCGACAATGTGCACGGGGACATTCTGTTGTTGAAGACCCAAGTCAGTGTCATCTTGCCAAAAGACTGTATAGAAGAGCTTACCCTCTCCGCGAATGCCTCCTCCAACTGCGCAACAACATCCTCGCCCTCTACACCCGATACATCCCATCCCTTTGTCCAGCGTTGCAACACACCATGTCGAATATTATCCTGCGTCACTGGGTAAGAAAAAGTAAACGCAAGTGGCAGTTTCTCGTCCGGATTGGGCGTCAATTCATGCTCGCGCAGAAAGTCCGCCACACGGTCTGCTATGTACTCCCATAACTCCTTTGCATTACCTGTCTTCAAGCCACCTGGTAACTTGAACTTGCTTTGTGTAATCTTATATCCGCCTTTCTCTTCTGTCAGGATGACGTTGCACACGCGGAGATTGGTCCCGCCCATGTCCACGGTCAGGTATTGGCCTGTTTCGTGGCCGGTCGGGGATTTGGTTACCCAGGTTACGTTCATTGGCTGGGGGTATGTTAGTTTATCAGGTTATTCGAGTGGACGAAGAAAGCGTACAATGTCGCCACCGGTGTTTTCCAGTCCTAAGTTGATGGAATATCAGAGACCCTACTGAGATAGATGCGGCCAGAGAGGTATACCAACCTTTCTCCATCTCCTTGACAAAATGATCGGTGATATGTCGAAGAGTGTCTGCATCGACACGAAACATATCCGCTATATTTTGAACTTCTTTTAGAACATTTTCAGATACGACTCCTAGGCCGTGGTGTCAGTTTGGGGCTTTACAGAATATGTGATGAGGAAGGTAGTATACCCTGCGGGAAGTGGATGCTTGATCCGGGAGCGCCCTGTGGTTCCTTCATTTCGGCAATGAGCAACGGAAATCCTTAGTGATAAAAACACAAAAATGTGGAAGTAGATACATTACTCCTGTGTTTTGTTGGGTTTATATATCAGCGGACTTTACCAATTCACCCATCTTACGTATAATTTTCGTTCTACAGCTTGGCCCTCTTGAAGCCATACCCACATCTGACAACCAGGCTAGCTAATCAACCGCGGCATTGCTCCCAGCCAGTCATATCCAAGTTTTGCCGGATTACTCTAAGTCTATGCCGGTACACAATGATCCGAGAACAGCAGGAGTCGCATCTTCGGACTCGGCGATGGATCGGGTTGACTTCACAGTGACGTCGTCCCGAGGCGGGTCCGCGGAGTGGTCCCTTCCGGCCTTTTCTGGTTGATAAGATGGTTGGATCTGCATTGCCCTGATTCAAGGCAATGCTTATCTAGAGCTTATCTAGAGGCTCTTAGCTATGGGTCTATGTCTTGTGGAAGGGTCTAGAAAGTGCTAGGTGTTGATGATGTATTGATCTCATGGAATATTCTCGGCTTGAATGGGCAAAAGACTCGCACTTTTTTGATGGTGGTTTACTGTCCACGGGGACTTACAGCTTATCTGTTGAATGTAGTCCGCGGGTTATTATTATTGTATCGGTGCTTCCGGAATGATCTAGATCGCACACATACCGTGTCCGGAGCAATAGGATTCGAGACGCATAACCCACTCGTCCCAGTAGCATATGGCATGAGCTGACATAACTTCAATTTGATACAGATACAATTAATGAAAAGTTGAACTCAATCCTCCGCCCAAAGCTCATAATCCGGAAAATACCGATCATGGATCCTGTGCGCATACTCCACGACCACCGGCAACCCTCTCACGATCCTTTGCGTCTCAGGACATCTGCAATCCATTAGCATCCCGAGCTCATTATATCTCATGACAGACAACTCACGCAGTACAAATCAATGCCCCAACAATGAACCCAAACAGCGTAACATCAGCTTCAGTCGGACGCTGACCTCCAAGTACCCAGAATACTCCCTTCCGATCACTGTTCAGCCTAGAATCAACCAGTAATGCATTAATCTCCTCCCATATCTGTCTTTTAAATGTCGTCCGTTCCGCATCTGAATATCGCAATGTCCCTTGCCCGTGCAATACCTGATACTGTTTCCGGTAGATGAGATGCCCCACGATAACCTGGGCGGGATATGGCAGCGAGGCGAGTATGTGCGCACGCATGGAATAGTAATTGTCGATCCATTTTTCGTAGCCCTACTTTTGGTTAATCATCTCCCAATGTACAGGCAGTGTTGACGGTGATGATACCTGAAGGAAATACAGCTTGTCTTCCAACAACGCCCTAACCCCTGAGTCGAGGACTTTCTCCTGCACAGTCAAATCCCCATTTAGATCAGGGAGTACCCCTTCTTTGACAAAATCTTGTATAATGAGACCCGAATCAGACATTGTCCGAGCCTGATTTCTCTCCGAATCGTTGGTATCGCTAACAGTAACATAAGGCACTTTGCCCCGTGGCGCGGCGCGAATCGACCCACTTTCAGTACGATAAGATAGCCCTGCAAACCGGAGTCGGGCTTCCAGTTTCGTGACGAAGGGAGACCATGTGTAGATCCCCGTGCCGGGGAAGCCGCGGTACAGGGTTATTTCTGGTTGATCTTGACTAATTCTCATTTTGTTCCAGGTTAGTTGTGTTTCTGTCGACGAGATCATAATAAGTGGGTAGTGTGAAGCTTTTTCAAGCGGGTTTTGCGATCATCGCAAAGACCGAGAGTGGGATCGGGCTCGTGTTGAGGAAGAGAACGCTGAATTTGATTCGCCGGTGGAATTAGACTCATCCTAGTGTGCTTCTTAGATGTTTCAAAGGCTATGAATGGTGGGATTAAATCATCGTGTCAGATGTCCAGCCAATAGCATTAGCAGATAAAGGTATGTTGCCTGGAATGCTGCCTAGATCCTGCTCTTGCGGTTTATGGACGCCAAATCCATCGTTTGGGGCTGTAAAGCTGAACGGACAATTATGACCGAAATTTCTTTTGCTTCTCAGGAATGATTGTCGACCGACTTCAGAGGACGGGCCAAGAAGCGACGGTAAATTTCTTATTGCACAATAGTAATATTGAATATGTGAAAGGCTTTCACCTGTGCAAATCACATAGCCTGGCAAGAGCGCCCTGGCTGGGCCAAACTCGGATAATCAGTCTATCTATGCAAGCCGTATTGAACCGTTTAAGCAATGGCAACAACACCCGCAAGAATAGCGGCAGCAACACCAAGGGGTCCATAAGCGAGAGAATTGGCACCGTTTGTCGGAACTACACTGTTGCTTCCCGCTGTCGTGCTGGCAGTAGTCGTTCCATTACCACTCTCCGTACCTGTGGAGCCGGAGGTTCCATTTGTCGCGGTAGCCTTCGTAGCCAGAGACTGGTGTTTGTACACCACCAAATTCGACGTGAAGATGCTCGTCGCACTAATTTCCTCCTCAATGCCCTCCGCCCCATCCCAGGTCGACTGGTACCAGCGCTGTCCACAGGTTGTCTTACTACTTCCGCCACTGCACTGCTTCGCAGCGCCAACAGCCGAGCCTTGCAGGCGCGGAAGAATGTCCGATGATGTATACGGCGCTACCATGCTCGTGAAGGTGAGACTTTCTGCCAGGAGACCTTTGAAAATTATCTCATCGTCGTTGCACACTTGTGTAGGTTCACAGAGGATCTCGGACATGATTTCGCCGCCATATTTATGGGGGAAGAATGTTCCCAAGGTTGTGTTCAGAAGGCCATCCAGGCCGGTCTTCCACTTGGTCTCTCCGTTTGTCTATCTCTTGTTAGTCTCTGTCCTATATGTAGAGCATGTATAGCCACTTACGTAGTTGTACATATATGCCGCGCCACTCAGAAACACCGCGTAGTTATACGACCACTGATTGTTGCCCAGAGTCGTACAATCATTTTCCGTATTAGTACTATCAGCAACATTCCAACTGCCCTCCTGAACAAGATGCGATGTACTCCAGTCCCAGATCGTGTTTGCCCAATCCACATAGGTCTGGTTGTTGGTATACCGCGCCAACCGCGCAGCGAGTTGGAACAAACCCCCGTTACTCATTGCGTTCTTCATCGCGTATCCGGCTTGGTAGGGCCAAAGCTGCCACCGGAGACCGCCGGAGCAGGTGTTGTTGTCCCAGCGGGCGGCTTGCACATCGAATACCCGCTCCGCTAGATCCACCCACGAGGGCATTCCAGCGTCTTCGGGGTAGTTCAGCTCTGCTGCCGTCATGGCGGCAAGGCCCCAGGCCATCTGGTCGTCATTGGCGATGTATGAGGACCAGTTGCTCGGCATGTAGTCGTTGCCGGCGCCACGTTGGTGGTACATGCCCTGGCTGACGGCGGCGTTGTTGGATGCGTCGTCGGTGAAGTACCAGTATCGGATCATGGTGTCGAATAATACGCCGCCTTCCCACCAGGTGTGGTTGATTTTTCCGGGGATCTGGCCGGTCTGATTGCCTGTGTAGTAGGACATGGCGTTGAAGGCGGCTGTGGCGGCGGCATTTTTGATAGATTCTGTGGGAAGTTAGATGGTTCATTTGGATTAATGCCTGAGATAGGGGAACGTACGTTCGTTGGTGATGTCGAGATTGATTGCAGCGGGGGTACCGGCCAAAGTGGCGACGGTGAAAGCCGCTGTTAAGTAATGAGCGAATACCATGGTGGTTGTGTAAACGAGTGTGTGGTTGATGATCAGCGGGAAATAATGGGAACCCTGGGGCGACTCATATTTTTATACGAACCATCGTAGGATTCGCAGATTTGGGTGGGTGTAAGTGGACATGAGAGTTTGACCAAGTGGTGCGAAATGGAGTTTCGTCTATCAGAAAAGCTCTTTCCAGCAGGGGTAAATGCCCCCAACGGGGCTTAGGCTTACCACGATGTGGAGGGTGTGCAATAGCCGCAGGGGGGTGGAGAGATGCTCGAAATGCACCAGAGACTTCGATAGGACAAGTTTCAGGGTCTAGAGACGCTAAAACAGCCGGAGTACCCGTGATTTGCTGATTGCTGATAGTTCATTTCGGCTGTTTTGTTAGCGTCAAAGGCTGGGGCGGTTAGGCCCGTTCCACTGCACAAGGCCAGTGAGCCTTATGACCATCCCCGGCTCATTATTGGGGATTTTGCAGTGAAATTGGGGGGTTTTACGCATTGGAGACTGTCTATAATGGTTGTCGGAGAGCTCCATAACAGCATTGTTGACTCCTATTTTGGGTGATCCGTAAGAACACGGATCAACTAGGCATTAGTCAATTGCAAGATCAAAATCTTAGTAAGCGGGCTTCATATCCAGGGTCCAACATGTCTCAGGTATCTGCAGCATGACCCTTTCTGGATGATGCTCGCCTTAGCTGAAAGCAGATTGTGAATGCTTTAGACTCATGTATATCCAGCGTAAGCATTGTCTATTATTATGATGTACAACTGTCCAATGGTTTCCAGTTTCATTTCACAATTCTGCAGGGTTACGTCCTAAATTAGCCACCAATAAATACCATCATATGCTCGTGCGCGAATCCTCTACGGCTTTGGGGGTGAGACGTGAAGGCCGACACTATACTACGCGAAGCTCACCATCTGATGCGGGAGACTGAATCTCCGACAAGGCTTCTGCATGTCATACCACGCCGACTTGCCTGCGCTACAGCCACACTGACAAACATCCATCCGCCTGTGCCATGCCACGCTCGACGATAATGGACACTGGCCTCAGAGCCCTTCTCTGTTTCTTGAAAGCGAACTTGAATGGATTATCATCTTCCAATTTATACTCCTTGGCTTGCAGCTTTTGGCCCCATCCCAAGCATCGGCACAGGCACGGCCCGCACTGGTGACATCATGCTCATTGAGCCTTGCTAAACCTAAGCCTGCTAGCGTCTAGGATTTCGTGCTGATAACATTACAATGGCCTAGTTTGTTTACCAGAATCATCCGTCGTAACACTATCATCGATGTTTACTTCGATCGAAGATATATATTATTGTCAAGGTGCTTTTACACCCTCACATAAGTCCATTCGACGCAAAATACCTACCAGGACACTAGTCTTCTCCCCGCAAACACGGGATTCCGCTGTCTGTACTCCACCTGGGGTCATATCCTCGGCTCATAGATCCTGAATGGCACAGCAGAGTCCCAGCATCCAGCCTCTAAGAAATCACCTGTGATATTTCTGACACTAGTCCCATTGCCAAACTCGAGAATCAGGCCTCCTGCAGGAGCAGAAGCATTAAACGCGGGCCAACCCACAGTGGAGCTGACCGTGGAGGGGTCCTTGATGAATGCCAAGATGAAATACTGCATGGTCCTTGATGTCGCAACCTCCAGGGCTGAAATATTCCCCGCGTCTGTCATATATGTGCCGAATATCATCAAAAGGTCTGACCAATGAAATGCACCAAGGTATGGTACTGGGCTGATATTGGAGAAATTCCCAGCCCATTCATACCGGTATGTGTCAAGACCTAGAGATGACCGTAGGATGGAGTCCTGGTATGCTGTGCAGACCCATTCACCCTCTCCTTCCATTGTCGTGGCCACCGATGTGCTGGCTTGTTCCCGTGAGGCGTCGGAGCGGATTGCTGGGCCTCGTGCGACCCGACCTGCGGCATAACGTGCCGTCTCATTGGAAAAGATATACTTTTCGTCGGCTAATTAAAGCAAATCAGTCATTCAAATCTAAATTCCGAAACACGCAATCATGGAGGAGTGGGTGACGAACGGATATAGTTGGAGAAAGCAATCGACCGGGTGCCGTTGTAGCGGTTGATATACTCTTCAATCTGTACCCATGATACCTGGCGCATGCATTCCAGCTCAGCCTCCGCATCGTCTTCATAGTTGCATCCAAGGCCTTTTGCAACAATGTGGAAGTCTTCATATACATCTGATGTCTCCGTGAGATTGATTGTCACTGATGGCGGCTGGGAGATGACACCAAATTTTGCCACGCGAGGGTCATCGGAGAAGGCAAGAGTATACAGATGAGTGAGTGCTGCTCCTTGTGATTGGCCCCATAGCTGTTGCAAAATATCAATCAGGAATGACTAAGTGGACCTCGTGGAGTGAAAAAGCTTACCATGATATTGTCTGGGTCTCCACCGAACGCCCGAATATTTTCGGCTACCCATTCTACTGCGGCTCGCACATCCAACAAAGTCAGCGATGTCTCATTCAGAGCTTTTGATTTGGGATCTAAATTGGGCGAGAATGTATTCGTTAGCCTGGCTCACTTGTGCGACCGGGGTTCAATTTGATCTTACTGCCGAAGATGTTGACCCGATAATTTATCGTTACGACAATATGTTCCTGGGAGTTTGACACCCAGTTTGACGGCAGCTGGGATGGAATATCGATTCCGCCAGTGACGCCACCACCACCTGTGACGAAAAGCGCGACAGGCAGGTTTGATGTCTTATTGGCAAAGGCTGGAGTCCACACAGCTAGCGATAGACAGTCTTCTGAGGAGGACCAAGCAGTTGATCCCTGATTGGGTGCCTCCCCAATATTGAGCAGGAGACTTGGAGGTGCGTATTCTGCCCACATGCTGCTTCCGGAAGCGACATACTGCGGACAGGCTAGAAGATAGCCCATAAGAATGCTGCTAGGTTCGGTATTCCTCACAGCCGAGTCACTCACCAGGTCCATAGCGTGTCGAGTCGATTCGCTTCGACGAGTTGGCTAATTTCTGAGGAGGAAGCCATCTAAGGTCCCCGACTGGAGGCTGGTAATTTGGAGCGATTGAATCAGTCTCAATCTCTCCGATCAGTGACGGCCAGCTGGGTACGTACCTGTGCATAGGGAACCCGAAGAAATTGGCGGACATTGGGGTATGTGTCGTTCAGCATGCCAACAAAGGTTCCCGTTCGTGTCTCCACAGTCAAATTCGACCAGTTGGATAGCGTTCTCGCCGGTTGCCACGATAAGTCTGCATAGTAGGGCGGGTACAACTCCCCAAGAGCGAGAGCAGTAAGCCCTGCCCAGACAAATGGAGTGAACAAGGCCACCATCTTGAAATAGTCACCAAACGAGCAAATTTCAGTGAAATGCAGATTCTTTTGCGTTGTTTAAGTGCACGGGGGGACTATTTATGGGTCTGAGCACGATGCAAAGATGCTAATTCAGCAGGGGTCCGTCCCCCACATTGCGGGGAAAGTGAGGGTTCTACGAGGGACCTCGTCATTATTAATTTGAACGAAGTCAAGCTCGGATAGCCAGAGTTGGCCTAAACCTGCTCTTTCTAACCGAGGGGTCCGATTATGTGTGAGTTAAAGTTAACTCGTCTACACAAGCATTCAGACGCATCTCCACTTACCAATCCTCATCGTGATACGAGTCAAGTTCTGATCTCTGTGCACTGTCTGATCAATATTCAGCCGTTTTCTCCGGGGACTTGCAGATAATTCCTCCAACGACAACGGCAGCCACGACCCTTGGCTAACCGGTCAACGCTCAAGAGGCTATCCCGCCGGTATTAGTCCGCCCACATGAAGTTCAAATTCCTTACACTAAATAGCATAGCCAATAGTCCGGCATCCCATGTGTTCTGCTACTCCGCCTAGGGATGCATGAACACTAACAGTCATGTCGCATGAAATGTCAGGTACTATAGTTTTCAAAGTTATGTTCATCATAGAAATCACGCAGCGGTTCGACTCTGCCTTGTGATACAGTTCCCGCGGTGGCAACGGGGCGGGTTATGAGACTTAAAGCATCCTGGATGTAGTATCAGGAGTTCAAACGAAAGCAATGTTGAGAAATGGTCCCTGGATTTAAAGGAAAGCACATGCCATAGCAGCTTACGCGCCAGGATCGGTGCCGAGCGAAGATTTACTATCCCGATCCCCGGATTCCAACTATGCTTGTCCAATGGACGATCCCGTGCACGATCACTCTATCGTCGTCTGATTCAAATAAAGGCTAGGTTGTGTATACAAGATGTCGACCATTGTTTTTGTATTAAGGATAGAAGACTAAAGCAGGTTTCAAGAAACTCCATATGCCCATGTTACTTATATGATGGGATGCATCTCTCCACCTGCTCTTCACGTAGACGGACTATATCTTTGTCGATCTACAAAGCCTGTATACCTCTCTATGTATGGGACGACCGACGCTACAGAGTGGTCCAAATCTAACCGTTCGACTCGATTGCCCTCTATGAGAATATTAGCCATGACTATCTTGCGTAACGGCTGAACTCCAACTGTGTGGATCCAAACCCACCACCTTAGACTTGGATCTTTTGGGCCCGTACATCTGCGACGAAACAGTCGTTATAGTGTCCGAGATCCGACCTTTATTATAGCGGAGTATTCGTGGTCATCGAATTCCCGTTACCTCACTTATCAAAATTGCCAATAAAGTGGTCGTTGAATTAGGCAGAATATCGTAATGTATGTTGATTCGATAGATACTAGGTGCGAATAGTGTGAGGTGACGGCGCACTCTGGCTTGGCTAGATCATATAACCATTTCATGATGGAGATCGACCGATGTACGCTAGAGGAAGTTATCAAAGGTATATACATGTCTCAAGAACCACAGCACCCCGGAAGGCCTCTTTGATCTGTCCAAGAATTTCATCTTCATTACTGACAACTATCGTCTGGGAGATAGGGGGTCTGACTAATGGCTCAACCTTCCAGCACGAAGGACTGCAGCAAATACTGCAGTCTAGGATGTCTCCCAAGCCCCTGGAATGGATACACAAGTATATTGTACCCTATCCTGGCCTTGTGGGGGTGCGTGGCCCCCGGGAGACCCCAATTGAGGGTTCAGTCGGAGGTGGACTCATCTTTCTTCCTCCGACCTCCGACGGCCCTACGTAATGCATCCCCACACATTCCGTGACCTGCCGTGCCGTGCCACCTGGGGTCATGCTATTGTTGAGTCCCCCAATTCATCCTAACATATTGGGTATACTTGCAGTCTATCGTCTGGAATCGGACCTGTTTCTTCATGGTGCTAGTGTCCCACGGTGGCTCCTGCAGTGTCTCGGGAAGCAGGTAGCGGAGGTCGATCATCTCCCACTGCGGAGCGAATTGATCATTCATGGTGTTTTGTGATATTCAGGCACTGTATATACAATATTTCAGGTAAAGCTAGCTAGTACTAGAGAACGTCAACCCCCAAAGGGTACAGAATATATGTACATTGATATGGGATACCGACCGAACCTAATAAGGACTGGGAGTAGCATACTTAAAGTACTCCAAGTACAGCTGGATCTCCTTGGCCGACGCAAAGGGAATGTCCTTCCACAGGCTGCCAAGCTCAAACATGGTCTGTTCGGAGGGAACATTAGGGCCCCAGTACGGCAAGGTGCCGTTGTTATAGGAGCCGCCCTTGTTCGGGTTCTGCGTCTTGACAAAGTTGGCCCAGTACGAGGACATGATATTGGCGACCTCGTAGTCAGCATCCGTGTACGAGGTGGTCGTCTGGGCGTAGAGGTTGTTGAGCGCATAAGACACCTCCGAGCCGTGGGTGGCTCCGTCCGAGCCAGGAGGCGAGTAGGTCCAGAGGTAGTAGTAAACGGGTTCGGTAGAGGACTGATTCCAGCGCTTGGCCCATGACCAGGTGGAAGTGCAGTAGCCAGCACGCAGGATCGAGTTGTATGCGGTTGTGGCTTGGGTGGTGTTTTCAGCTGGGTGCAGCGCCAACAGCTCGGCGGCATAGGGTCCGTAGGTGGAGTTGATCTCCGATCTGTACTCGGCGACGGTATAGGTGGTAGATAGATCAATCCCATTCTCGTCCTTGTTGTTTCCGACCAGGATGGGCACGTCATTGGGTGCACCTTCGTCCAGGCTAACGATGTACTTGTTGGGCATTGAGTGGTAGTTGAGCACTGGGTCGAAGCCGACGAAGTCGGAAGCACCGGTGCCGCTAAGGACTGTTTCGAGGTCCATGGAGCGCAAGTCAGCCACGCTCGTCGCATTGAGTGACTCTGCGTAGGTCTTGCTGAAGGCATATGCCCAGGTCATGTTCCGGTAGTCACTTCCGTATCCCCAGAGGTCTGGGTCATATGGGTCCTTGAGACCACTCTCTGCGATCGCTCCCTTAATCATACCCTTGGTCCGGGGACTGTTGACCATATGGTAAACGGCGCCGGAGCCGAAGGATTGGCCGGCCACAGTGATGGACTCGGGGTCTCCGCCAAAAGCGGCGATGTTGTCATAAACCCATTTCAGAGCTTCGATCTGATCAAGAAGACCGTAGTTGCCCGTCGCACCGCTCTCTTCGGCTAGCTCATGTAGAGTTAACCAGCCGAGAGGTCCTGTGCGGTAGTTGTAGCTGACGAAGATAACATCCTTGGCCGCCATGCCCGCACCATCGTAGGTACTTTGGCTGGATTCACCTCCGGCCGCATAGGACCACAGCATGACCGGCAGCTTGGCATCGGTGGAGGTGGCGGGGCTCCAGATGTTGATTGACAAGCAGTCCTCACTCACTCCGTCACCAGCGAATGAACTAGGACAGCTGGCGCCAAATGCAGTGGCCTTCAGGGTGCCGTTCCAGGATGGGGCACTCTGGGGCGGCTTCCAGCGATTTTCTCCACCAGTTGTGGCGGCATATGGGATTCCCTTCCACACAGAAATGTCTTTCCAGTTGATAATGTAGGATGGGGCACTGCTTTCGTTGAAGGCAGCAGCACCCTGCACCTTGCCCTGGGGGAGCTGGATGGTTTGGTCATAGAGAGTGGCGCTACCCGGAGCCAGTAGGGTTAGGATACCCAGGCCACGAGTGGACCTCCCGTTGATTCTCATTTTCGAAGACAATGGAAAAGAGGAGGGAATATATGCAGTGCGAAGCAGAAGGCTGTCAACATGTTGCCAGAGAACTGGACATGAGAAGGTTCTTATAACCGCCAACCAAGGCAAAGGGCAATTTGCAACGGGTGCAGATCATTTTGGACTTCCAAGCCATGTTACATCGTGATCGTACGTGCTCGGAGAAAATATGACACGCTGTGTGTGATGCTAACTAACTTTTCTCTTCGGATATTACGATCCGCACAGGATATAGTAGCTGACAGTGCGTTCGTGATCTTATTCTGCAGCATCGGAGGTGGGCGGTCCAGAGATCGCCGACGTCCGTCCGCCGACTCCCGTGAAGATAGCAGCCAAGAGCCAGATCAATAGTAGGTGAAAGAAGGTTATCGGTTTCAACCTAATTCCTTAGGGCAGAGGACGCGCAAGTCTGTGGGGGTCCAAAACACTGCCTCGGAGTTGTTTGCTGGTCTGGGTGGATGGAACCGCGATCACATCAGAAACACATACCCGTGAAATTCCACCAAGACGGCAAGACAACATTCAGGTAAAGGATTAAGGCTTACTTAAACGCACTGATTTTTCTTCTCCAATACAATTTGCTGATCATTCCGCTCATTCACCTTTCAGAAGATATCAACTGACATTCCTGCTGCGTCATCAGTCTCAACCAGCTCTGCAGCATCGTCCAATGTACAACACGCAATTCTCGTCCCTGCCAGTAGCACTCTATCAGAAATTGAGCTGGCCCAATCCACGACAGCGAATGTCTAGGCGTAATGCCATTACGGGCATGTGTGCAGTGATACTAAGGTTTGACAACCACAAGAATCTGACTGATACGATTGATTAAGGGCAGATCTACTTGGTTACTGATGCTGTGCACAATGGTGAACGACACCTGAGCCCATGTGCTTCTCCCTGTTGCGCGCTATACTCGGCTGCCCAATCAACACCCAAACGTCAACCTCATCTCTTGCTCCCAGTCAAAGTTCTCCAAAAACGCCATGAAGTCAGTATCGCCAATATCCCCTCCTGTAGGCTCATTATTCCAAGGGTCATCACTAGAGGCTACCACTCCTACCGGAGCTGGTGAGAGCACCCGATCCAAAGCCTGGGAGATGATCCTCTCCCCCTTGATGCAGATCTCGTAGTCACCTTCTTGCTGACGAGCGAATGTTTTCAATTGCGCGACAAATACGCTCAACTTCTGTATGATATCTGAACGGGGAAACGGTGTTTGTGGTGATGCGGTGGCTACGCTTGCTTGGGGCCGGGATCGTCGCAGAAGCTCGGTGCAGAGGGTACCGGCGGCAGGAAGGCCTATGTAGCATAGCTGGGGTTGTGAGGTTTTGGAGCAATGATACGTGTACATGGATGAACTTACATCTAAAATGACGGTTGGGTGGACTTGACCTGAGCGAGTCTCCAGTGATACCATATGTAGTAGGATGCTAATAATCTCCAAAGCTTTGTTGACGAAATCATCGATACCCTTTCCAACCCGTTTGTAGAGAGTTTGCAATAGCAAGAACTCGTGATAAAGAAACTCGATGTGAAACGATGCAACTTGGGGATCTGTTTTATCTTCTGTCCACTGGAGGTACGGAGGAAGACTGCGCCGTAGTTCGTCTGATTTCTTGCGAGCCTTTCTGTTCAGCAGTTATTAGTTAATATCAGTCCGATCGGAGCTATAATCTGGTGCTCACTCACTGGACCTTCTCCTCTAATCCGTCTAGCCTATTACTGAGTGATATTTCCAACGCGTTTTCTTCATCGATACTAGCAGCCAGTCTAGCTCGAGCCTTGGCCCCCTTATCGATACAACCATCGATGTTCCAACCTTCCGGATCTAAGCGTGCAATAGCTGCATCTCTTATCGCGGGCTCGGCAACAATCTCCTCGTAGCTCATGTCCAATGGGTATTGGATGTTGCAATAACGCCAACATATTCGTGGAGGCCTGCCTAGGAATGTTGCAAGTTCTTTGTCAAGTGCATATGCACCAACCATCGTTCTTTTCCGAATCTCCTTCAAAAAGAATGGAGCTGTGTTATCAGTGTCCGGCTGGTGCAGGCCAAGTGCAAAGACTGTCGTCGTGATATCCCCTAGCATCTGCCACGTTCTGTGATCTTGCTTCGTCTTAGTTACTACATGATCGATGTTACTCAGTCAATAACATACCGCTACTCCCGTGCATATGCGATAGATAGATTGCATGCTGGACCATGGCCCACGACAAAGGGTCACTCAGCGTGCCTAGATGATTGCAAAATTGCAGACATGTTTGGCTAGCCTGGATGCATATTTGTCGCAATCCTTCCTTGCTCGTAATTTCGTCCTGGTGCTCTAACCCCAGACTGTGTGGTGGTAGTTGATATGTTGCCGTACCAGCAAAGCCGAAAAGTAAACTTAGCATCTCCCAGCGCGGCGCTGCTAAAGAGAAATATTCGGCCAAGGTCATCGACTCATGGGTCACGATAGGAGTTACGGTATTTTTGAAGAAAGTCCTGGAGAGATCTAGCAGGCGTGCATACTTGTTCCCCGAGTCCTGGGTTGCATTGCGGTAGACCTCTTCCAGGACCTTGAACAATTGATCCATCAGAGGGCTACCGAAAACCCATCCCGGCGAAATGGTGAAGCGCTTCTTTGAAATCTCAGCAAATAGGGGTAGATGCTCCAAGAGAAAGAGGACCTGAGCACCCCGCGCCACCTGTTGAGGGTCGATGGGGGTTGACCGTGTAGACGATGGGAAATCCACGACATCAAGCTCACTATTGCTGAATGCACCTGAGTAACTGGTAGGACCCAGGAACCCCGATCCTGAAAATGGAAGCTTCGACGGGTTGGGAAATGCGGCTGGTGTTAACACAGTCGCTGGAGATGAAGCGCTCAGACTATCCCATTTCAGCGTCTTTGCAGGCACCAGCATTTGTTCCTTGGTTGCTGTCCTGGTTGCCTTGAGTGGTCGTGATAATTCGCGCGGCTTGGTGAGCGGAGCTGGGTGGTAAACACAGAGGTCCGCTTTACCCCGACGGACGCATCGATTACATGTTGGGGCTGAATGATCGCATCGGAGCTTGGACTTCCTGCAAGGCTCACAGGATGATAACTGTCCATTACGGCGTGGAGCGGACATGGCGATGCGCAACTAGATGCCTGTGAGTCAATCGTAGTTGAGGTCCGTAGTTGAGGTCCGACTCCGAACACCCAACAGAAAGAAAGAGAAAGCGATGAGAGAGCGGGGGGGATAAAGAAGGGAGATAAGTGGACAGGCAGACTTATTAGCCATTGTTGTTTAGCCGTTGTTAGTATAGCCTCGTTCCATTCCTGCGATTAGAGAGACAGTGGCTTACGGTCCGATGGCTCGTGCGCTGAGCTCCGAGCGCCGACCCTGCGTGGTATGTCGAGTATATGCCTCAGCTTGTTTGCATCAAGTATATAAAGCCTTCCCCAACGAGAACGTTGAAAAAATAACAAACAGAAACAATCAAGAGCAAGCCTTCCAATCAAGCACTCAATACATCTGTCGCGCCAATCTTTCTACCATCCTCATTTCCTTGCAAACAACCAACTACATCCTCATCACCATGCCTCGCGCTTCATTGAACGGCTTCTACCGATCCTTTAAGGCCAGACACCTCAGCAAAAGCAATTCTGATCAATACATCACAACCACGGAAGACGGCCACGCCGAAGATTCTGCATCTGTTCTCAGTGACGCAACTACCTTGGCTCAGAGCAAGACTGAGCCCCAGAAGGGGACTCCTGCCCAACAGGGCCCGGATAGCCTCGACTACGGCTCTACCCGATACTGTAAGCATCTGCCATGACACAGATGATTAGCTGCTTAGCACGAAACTGACATGGCATAGCTATGAGAGGCATGTCCACCCGCGCATGATGTTGTCGGCTACATCTTTTACGACGGAAACGACCTACTTGGCAAGAAACGGGCTGCGCGATGGATGTGCAAGAAGTCTCTATTCCTTGAATTATATATAATACTTAATGTCTCGCTATATTTTGAAGTTTAATTGAAATTGATGGATTTTCAACATGTTTTGCCTATCTTTGTATTGAAGAAATTGGCATCTATAGGCCACTATTCAGTAGCCATAGGCTTGGGCGAAGTAGCCCTCAATCAAATCTGGCGAACCCTTTGAGGCCATCTACACGATCTGGAACTGCGGTGTTTTAGTAAGTGGCATAACGGCTAATAATGAATCCACCAAAAAGCAGCTTACGTCTCTTTCGGTGAGGCGACCTCCGCCTAATTTGTCCAGTTGAAGACCCATAAGATGTGAAAGATCTCATATCCTGCAGACTAGACCATCATCATCAGAGGGGCACTAGTTGGCCCTTTTCGTTAGCCCGTCCGACCATCGTGGATATATTGTCCTCCAATTGATTGGTCCACTTTATTGCTGGAGAGATTCATCACGTGTTCGTAAGTGAGAGAGTAGACTATGTCGCTCAACTATTTAAATCTCATTTTAAGAGCTAGCAAGGCTTTCCAGTAGACTTCTAAACTACTACAGCTCATCCCCTCCAAGAACGCTGAACCCCTCGTGGTCCTCAACACCCGCGCTATCATCCACGACATACCAATCCTTTACCGTCGCGGATCCGTTCAAAACGGTCTTCCAAACCTCCGGGGTACACGTGCCGGGACTTAGAACATAGCACTGCGGCTTTGGCATAATAGGAGGGATATTCTTGATATGCCACGTATCCTTAGGTCCAACCGACTGGAATTCGTCATCAACAGCCAAGAGGCCAGTAGGGATATCTTTGTTGAATGTCGCCCGCATGAAGATCTCATACGCCGCGACAGGCTGGTAGGAGGGGACCTCATGCCCGGCTTGGAAGACGCGAGTGAAACTGTAGTTGCCCAGCTGGCGGGTCATGCCGCTGATCCCGTCCGGCGTAAGGAGTGGGGAGTATCCCGTGTCGGCAAATTCGGTGATACGGGAATACGGAACTGCAAGGCTGGCTTTTTCGCCCCCGACCCAATTGCAGGCGTAATCACGATCTCCGTACATCATGTGCACTTTTACACCACTGTCGAGGAGGTAGCCAATTGCATCCAGGAAGCCGCCGTGGACGATATCAAAGGTTTTTATGAACTGTGTAGCCACGGCACTCGAAGACGATGTGAAATTGACGGGTACCCCAAGAGCGGCGAGGACGGACTCCTGCGTCAAATATCCGAGCATGTGCTTGGCAGGGAATGGGTCGTTCTTAGGATGGGCGATGTCGTACCACCCGCGATTGAAGGTGTGGTAGTAGGTGATGGGGCCATCTCCCCATTCTAGTGCAAGGCCTCCGCAGATTTCAGAGATATTCTTCCCTGAGTGAGGCAAGCCGGAATCGCGTTCTTTCAAAGCCGCTTCGCAGGCGAGGGCCTGATCGCGAAAGCCTCCTGGATGCGTCCAGTTATACATCAGTTCTTCGTAGAGGGGTTTATCGAAGATTTCGAGGCCGTAGGTCTGGACTGAATTAGACATTACGCGAGATTTGAGATGAAGGGGCAAGCCTTACGTTATTGTACGGCCAAGTAATGTAAGCCTCTTCTTGGATCACCATATCCATCAAGCCGTTCACAATGCCAAGCGTGTCGAGATGCAAATACTGTGCACCGTCTTCTGCAGTCCCCTCTGCGATTTTGTCATTCTGCTGTTGGAAGAACCGAAAGATGCCTGGACCATAATGGCCTCCGTAACTTTCAGCCCAGAGACTGACGCGATCATCGTTCGGCTTGTAGTGTGGGAACTCGAAAAACCAGGTCTGCGCGAAATGCCATAGAGCGTGAGCCGCGAATGCAGTCCCATTAGCAGTCTGTGCAAGCTTCTGGCTTGCAAAGGTACCAACATGATGGGTGAAGTTGGACTGGGGAACATCAATGGAGAAATCACCGGAAACTATCTCTTCTTCGCCGTCCGCAGTCCGAACCAAAGTGCCATTTGTTGGGACATCGTATGAGAAGCCGACTTGAGTTGGCTGGTCAAGGAATAGAAGATTGACTTCATTGTTCCAGCTCCAAGGATTGAGAACTGTGGTCTTGGAGTCTGATGCAATGGAACAGGGGCCTAATTCTTCAAGGAGCCCCATGAGCGACGAGCCACCCGGACCGCCATTGAGCCAGATGGCCAGAGGCGCATTGCTGGGATCTTTGCGGGCTTCGAAAAACCAGAAGAAGCTGGTTGAGGCTCAGTAATTGCTCATTCTCCGACGCATCGAGGTTGGCTTACGTGTTGATAGGATAATCCTGCACTTCTCCTGTCCCGTCGGAAAGGAACCCGGGGGGAAGGTGTACATAGCCCGAATAAGATCGGACACCCGGCGTCGTTTCGCAAATTCCAGGCTGACAATCAGCACGGCATCGAGCATAAAAGTTAATTCTAGATACTCTGCACACACCTCTTTGAAAGAAATAGTCACATTCTCATGCAACTTGGACTTGAGCACAGTGATGTCTTCCGGCTCGGGAGGAAATTGAGCGGTCGCTAGACCCAGAAGACCCCCAAGCAGCAGACTACTCAACATCGCGAAGAAGCTGAAGGCAATGATACTCTAATGACCACAGCCTGATCTTTGCCAGTTATGCCAGAGACCTCAAAAAAAGGCATCAACATCGTGAGGGGAGAAGGGCGCGTAATAAGCCGCATGACTAACTCGGAGTTGGAGCTAACGCTTATCAGGCCCTTGCGCCGGAGTCCGTCGGCCGTGGGGAATGGCGTTGTTAGTGGGCGAATGGCGACATCCATTTGGCTAAGAGACAGATACGTCGCTGACAGAATAGAGCTAGCTGCAGACACTTCGGCGCTGCGGCATTGCACAGCGGAACTGGGGATGGCGACCACCTTATCCAGCTCCGACGAACTTGACAGACTTGATAACTCAATAACAGATGAACGGTTGAAGTGAATGCCCCACTTCTGGCCGAATATTATAGGTTCCCAATTACTTTGTTTTCTTTTCCTTCGGGAGACTAAAGCTGGGTAAGTGGGCTAATGGAGGTAAAGATAGCAGATTAGGTAGCCTAACGGTCGGGATTTTCCAGCGTTAGAGCACCCAAAGGACCCTTATTTAGCCTTTTATTGCAGTCAACTATAGTATTGACTATAGTAACTTCCGGGTGACAAGCTTCGTAAGCCGATCAACCGTTCGGAGTATCGATGCCCCGCAACACAGCGGGATGTTTCAACTTTGCCTCTCCTGCGTTCCATGTTTGACAAGGCAAATGTCAGTGGATGACGAATAAGGCGTCGAAGTCGCCTTTTCCAAGTTTCACATTCTCCATACGTCATGGAGGACAGACTGTGTTGAAGGTGGATGTCACAGCCCAAGAACTACGATAAAAAAAAAAAAAAAAAAAAAAAAAAAAAAAAAACAAAAAAAAAAAAAAAAAAAAAAAAAAAAAAAAAACAAAAAAAAAAAATCTGTTGCATGCAAGGTATCTATCCCATTCAGTTGTGAATTAGGGGGGAGATTGTGGATAGATTCCCTATCGATAAGCACACAGTCTCCGCAATTATCAAAGACCCTGGCAGAAGAACCCTGGGTGCACGGAGGATATGCTTGGTCGACCAGACTCCACCAACTTTCCGAACGGGTATTGTGAGTTTCCTTATCGGTATGGTGCCAGCGATTGAAGCGATCAATATGGTTAGTGTGTTCGAGATAGACAGTGGGCATGTCTTGGAGCTCGGAGGACGAAGTAACGCCATCGGGATAGGATTTGACGCCTGGAGGGGCGATGACGCGGAGGGACGAGGCTGGACCCAAAGGGCCGCGTGGCCTGGAGACGATCGGCTGTTGCTCGACTGGTTGGGTTACTATGTATAGTCTCTTTCAGCTGCCATCTCAATGGGCATTGATCGGTGGCAGGACAAGGCGCTGCCTCGTATGAGATGACAATGCGGATGCATAAGAGAGCAGATCATCGTTGAGGATGAAAGAAACCCTGAAGATCGGGCGTACTGCGTAGAATTGATGAGCGTGGGCTGGGGAAAGTGGCTGGAGAGAGAGAGCGTGGGAGGAGCCAAAGTGAAGAGGGACGCCGATCAGGAACCCGAGCAGCAAATTGGCGGCTGACGACCGGCGGGGCTCCACCAACAAACAAATGTACTGCTTTTCTGCGCTTTTCACCTGCCGCCGCTAAGCTTTTTTATTCTCCTTGCTGTCCTCTTCTTCTTCGTCGTCGGTCTTTTCCTTCTCTTCTTCTCCAGCAGCATTCTGCGGAGTCCCTCCTGCCCTGTTCCTGTCGACTTCCTTGGTTCCCGTCTCTCTCACGATCTCGTCAGCCCGCTCGTGTGCGACCGTCCATCATGGCTGCCAAATCCCAATTGCCGACCGTCAACACGCCTGTGTCCGCGGAGCCTTCCAAGGCCGCCATGCACCCGGCTTTCTACATCGCGTACGACTCTTATGTCTGTGGTAGCTGCCTGTGGATGTTCGTTAATCTCTCTCTAGTACCTGGATTGCTCTCAGTTCCGGTGTGATCATTTTCAACAAGTGGATTCTCCATACCGCTGGATTCAGTGAGTGAACCCATCTTCTGTTCTGCTCCAGCATGCGATTAGTGAACTGACCGTTGTTACTTCTCTTCCACAGGTTTCCGTACGTCGATTCCAATATTCACGCCGAGAAAGTCCGTCGCAAACGACTAACATGCTGCAGCCCTCTTCCTGACCACATGGCATCTCGTTTTCGCTACCATCATGACCCGCCTCATGGCGCGGTTCACCACTCTGCTCGACTCTCGTCACCAGGTCCCTATGACCTCTCGTGTCTACATGTCAGTTGGATCGTGCTGGAAATCAACAATCAATGGTCGTGTCTAATCAGTTTTTGTCCTTGCAGGCGTGCCATCGTCCCCATTGGCGCATTCTTCTCTCTCAGTCTGATCTGCGGTAACCTCGCATATCTCTACCTCAGTGTGTCCTTCATCCAGATGCTCAAGGTGAATAACTTCGACTCCGTGTGCAAGACTGCTGCTAATTTGATCAGGCTACCAACTCTGTGGCTACGCTGCTTGCTACTTGGGCTATGGGCATTGCGCCGGTGAAGCTCAGCTTGCTCGGAAATATTTCCTTCATCGTCCTCGGTGTTATCATTGCCTCTATTGGTGAAATCAAGTTCACCATGATTGGATTCATCTGTAAGTTTTTTTCTACTCTCGGCGCCTGGCCGGTTTTTTAACACCTCATTAGGCCAGTTCTTCGCGACCATCTTCGAGTCCGTCCGTCTGGTTATGGTTCAGCGCCTGCTCAGCTCTGCCGAATTCAAGATGGATCCGTTGGTTTCCCTGTACTACTTCGCACCTGCTTGCGCCGTCATGAACGCCGTCGTCACTGCGGTTGTCGAGCTCCCCACACTGCACATGTCTGACATCTACCAACTCGGCATGGGTACCCTGTTCCTCAACGCCGCCGTGGCTTTCGGACTGAACGTTGCTGTCGTCTTTCTGGTACGCCTTCGCGACAGTGGTCTTGTGAGCATCAGTTCGCTAACGCTTTATAGATTGGCAAAACCTCCGCCCTTGTCCTTACCCTGTCCGGAGTCCTTAAGGATATCCTCCTCGTCGTTGCCTCGATGGTCATCTTCCGCGATCCCGTTACTCCTCTCCAGGCCTTCGGATACGCGATCGCCCTTGGCGGTCTGGTCTACTACAAGCTTGGAAGGGACGGTGTCAACAACCTTCTGGCCCAGGTGCGGTACCAGCTGCTTGGTGGCCCCCGCCCCGAGAACTAGAGTCAATTGTACATATGGTATGTTGGGAGTGGTTGTTGGTTGGCAGATTTAGAACGTAAATAGAATCGGGCAGGGCCCCAAATGTATCTTTATTTTATGAGGTGTAATTGCGAAAAGTGCGTGAGCATACTCCGTAGTCAGTAGGAGATGCCAGCATCTCTATCCTCAATACCTTGATCTGTGCGTCATCTTTCCCATATTCAAAGATAAACGGCAAGAACGGATCCCACACAGTTGCGTACCAAAGTCGCCGGACGCGACGCGCTTGTTTACTGCTCTTTACGGGTGGGTCCATCCTTCTTGCCTGAGGCAGAAGGCGGGGATCCCACAGCATATCTATTATTCACCATAACTCTATGGCTCTGCAGACTTCGTTCGAGTCAGATCCCATTTGACTTGCTCATCTTAGTTTCGCAGGTTGCAATGAAGATATTACTCGTTAGTTTACTCTTGAAGAATTTGCTAGAACGCATCCCAACCACTGATATGCTTTGTCACATTCCTCACTACTCAAAATATATACAACTGCTCTGCTCTCCACTCATACTGACAACTTGCTACTAATGAGTGAACATCATCAGGTGTACTGTGCCCGAGCTTCCGTCCACTCAGGCTGATAACCCAATTTTGCGCCATTTAGATCGAAACCCGTTCCATTGCCTGCATCGAAACCACTCTCATACGCACCATAGCTGATCAGCTCAATGTTCTCCAGCCTGGCTCCCGCATCCGTCTGCGCCCACAAGCTAAGGCCAATGGTGTTCTTGTCGCGGTTGTTAATAATACCGGGTGGGATGGGGAACGTTGTTTGCGGCCCCAGATATGGGACATATTTGCCATATTGGTATCCGTTGATGAAGAGCTGGATGCGCACTGGGTCGACGGTTGATGGTGAGGTAAATTGGATACCCAGAGGAACGTCATAGTTCTTGGGAAGGTCAAGGGTGAAGGTGGTCAGGTAAAAGGCGACCCCTGTTACTCTGGATTAGATCTACATGGACAACAACGAGCAGCGATTATGAGTGGATGTGAAATACTGATCCATACCTGACTTGTTGAGTCCATCAAGCGGAGATCCGTCCGTCCAGCCATCCGATAACTTGGCCTTGTATCCTGGAAGATGCCAACCCTGACGCTCGGCCAGCAAGCCGCCTTCGTTCATGGGTGCTCTCACAGGGTCGAGCTCATATGCTCCTATTGTCACGAAGGGAACAATCTTTTTAGCCTAGTGCGATTGAGAGAAGGGAACCCACGGAGTTCTTACCAGCGGCACCTCCAGCATTTCCTTGGATCTTCCAGCTTGTGAAAGAACCGCCATTGAGCGTCGCTCCGAGAAGTCCTCTAGGGTTTTCCACGCCGTTACCAGTAGACGTTTCGTCATGTCCGGTGTAGTCGATCTGGATGAGCTGGTTAGTTATGTCTCTCTATACTAGCGTACCTTCGTGCTAACTTACCACAACAGTCAACAGATTATCCGTCTGCTTCAAGGTATGGTTGGAAAAGTCAATGGCCGCGTTAGATGAGGTTTCGTCGGCATCACCTGGGTGCGAGGCCACAAGATCTCCATTTAGCCAGACGTTCCAACCAAAGGCCAGGCCTCCTTGCGCAGTCAAGTTTGCCCCAGTCACGTTAGTCCCATCGAACCGACCGCGATAGATCTTGATACCTGTGTAGTAGCCATAGTCGGACGCAAACAAGACAGGAAGGCTAAGTGGATCGACTGGACTCAAGGTAGTTGTCTTGTTGCACACCGTCCACTTGGAGTCATCATAGGAAGACTGGGTCTCTGGCAGGGAGTCGCGAACTTTCCATCCTGTCAAACTTGGGATTGTGATGCTGCTGCTATCGGCGCCACCAATTGATCCCACAAGACTGCCATAGTCTGTCTTCGTGACGGTAATCTCCTTGCCGTTCCATTTGACGGCCTTCGCGGAAGAACCAGCGAATACTTCCACAGTGGTGGCATTGTCATTGTCTCCAACCAGATCTACAACGCTGCCGGAGATACTGACGTTGCGGACTAGGTATGGCCCAAGCACAAATATTTGCTGTTCCGCTGTCACATAGGGGTCTGTTGTGGTAGGTGGCGCCCAGAATCGGAATGCCGTTTCTGTCTCCACAAGATAGAAGATGGCGCCATTTGAGAACTTCACGACGCTTGTACCACTGCCTTGAGTGTAAGTGTATGAGGTAATGGTGCGATTACCTGAACTGCTAGTCAGGTTCACCGAGTCACCATATTCCTCGAAGGTCAGCTTCGTCGTGTTCTTGAAGGCAAAGGACACCTCCTGTCCGGAGCGCGCATAGAGCACGACAACATCCGTGTCCCCAAACGTTCCGTATGTCGCGATGTCAGTTGATACATACAGGAGCGTGCTGTGACCGAGTGGGTAATCAGTCGAGATTACCTTGCTTTGCCTTCCTTGCAGATTGATGTTGGGCAAGGTAAACGCGCCCGCAGAAGTATTCACGTTCAGGGAGAAAGTGATGTCTGTCTGCGAGGACGTGGTATCCTGCTGTACGACATAGAAACCAGCGGTCGTGTTGGGGTTCCGAAGCACCCATGTGTATGCCGAGGTGGTAGATGTGTAGGAGGTGCCATTCCCTTCCATTTCGACTCCCAGCAGGCCAGAAGACACTCGCGTGAACAGACCAACGAGCTTCGTCTGGCTCAGTTTGTCCCTGATTTGTCTGGTCTCTCTGAGAGGAGCGCTGTAGTCGTCTACAGCTAGTCAGCGTGGCTGTGTATGCGGAATCAAGCGAATGAACTTACACGACGTATACACCACAGGTGCAGCCAGGTGGCCCCAGTTAGTTCCCCCGTACAGCATGTACAGGTTTTGGAGGGTGACCCGTTGACCAATATTGTTCTTGTAGTACACGTCCGCAAATTGTGGACTCAGCTCACTTGTGCACTGGTCGTAGAACGAGTCAGCGCCCCAGGCAGAGAACCAGCCACCTTCAAACTCAGGCAAGTATTCAGGCTGCGTGTAGCTAGTGTTCTGGAACCACTGATAATAGTTCCGTAGGACTGAAAAGCCCGTAGAAGGGTTGGTGCAGCTGAGCCCTCCCGGGTACGAGTCTAGGCCATAGACGTTGACCGCACCACCCACATCCTCATAGTCTGTCGACCAGCTTCGAGATCGCTGGCCCTTTTCGTTGCTGGTGAAGGGAACGTCCACGCCAGCAGCTCGGAAAGCCTCCTCGATCTGCTCCATATACTCGACCAAGGTATTGCTCGCCGAATGGGTGGTCTCCTGAAGTTCATTTTCGATCTGGTTGAGGATGACTGGTCCACCGTTGGTAATGGAATTGTCCGCAATGATCTTCCCAATGCGCTCAATCCAGGGTGTCCACGCTTGGTGGTATGTCGCGTCGCTTGTTCGCAACTCACCACCGCTCCCGTCACTGAGGTATAAAGCTAGACCACCACCGTTAAACTCAGCATTACAATATGGTCCGGCACTGGCATGATGTCAGCAAATCCAAAGGGAAAGGTGGACCACGATAACTAACCGTGCGATGATGTAGATTCCGGCCTCTTGGGCATAGTCGAATAAGCGCTGAATATTGTGTGCTCCGGTCTCAAAGTCATATGTTCCATTGATCGGAGAGTGATAGTCCCAGAAGAAATACAGACTATGTGACAATTGTCAGGAATTAGGGACCTGAAAGAACATTGAGACATCAATCATATTGCACAAACCTAACAGCATTGAAGCCATGTGCGCGCATCTTCTGAAAGACATCAAGCCACATTTCTGGAACCGGCAATCGGGGATAATGGAACTCTCCGGAATAGACAAACAAGCGATTGCCATTGACGGTCAGACTGTAAGGATCCCAGGCGACCAGGTCTGTCAGACCATCTGTAGTCGCCCAAATTTGGGCGACCAAAATCGCCCAGCATGAAAGTATGGACTGCAGCTTCATGGTGGGAGGAAAGCTGTTGCCGCACACGCGCAATATTTGCTTAGCACCTGCGCCATATTCTCACATTTTATAGTATCTGTGATTGCATTGCCGAGCCGGTTAAAGAATGGTGCGCTCGAACCCCGTTCGCGCTATTATCCACGCGAGAAAACGGTGAACAGGACATGGAGGGAAGTGGCGTGGAAGTTCATGCAGAAATGGCACGCATATGCAGGTTCAATAACTCGAACTGCCATGGGTGAGGTCCAGATGCAGGTGGATTGGTGGAAGAATACTATTAAATCCCAGGTCGGGCCAATTCTACCCCGATATTCATCACGTCAGGAGACGAGAGAACCGGGATATTCCCGGCGGGATTGCGGGGTAAGTAAAGGGGTGGCCGCATTCTTACAGCATCCCTTTTTCTTCAGTTCGCTGAAGGATATCCTCCACTCTTTTACATATTGTAGGTGATTCAGCATATGCATTTCACCATGGATGAGACCTGAAAGAAAGGTTGAACTTTCGGCTTCCCCGCTAAGCTCGGACAGATGGTCTCCGACCTCCTTTGCGTTGCAAAAGTGACCCTAGAGAATAGCTGTCCTCTGTGATCTTATTGTTTACACGATATAGCCATTCTTTCTCCGGTGTGCTGTGCCGCGATAGCTACATTATGGCATCGTCGTCGGGCTAGAAGAGAGCTGGGCTACCAGCCGCACCTGGTGGAGACCAGATCGGATTCCACATTACTCAATGGAGTGGAGAAGCGGACACCAACAGCATTCTGTTGGGGAACTGACGGATATAAGAAGGTCTCTTCTTGCCGTAACAGGTGATATCATACGAAGATAGGTCACCTGGTGGGAGAGAGTCTGCTTGCCTCGGTGAGAGCACCGTGAAGCTCGCTATCTGCTGGCATCTACATTGATAAGATCCGCCATAACTAAGCCACGACATACTATGTCATCGAACGACTACTTCCCGATCGGGATCGACAGTGGCCAGCTCGGAGACTGACTGCACTGTGGATAGAAGGGCAAGAAGTGGGCATCGCATCAAAGTTTGCACGGAAGCGCGACCCCTTTTGG